ATGTCAAAAAAATAATATATTAAGATATAAAAAAAAAGTGTAACAAAACATTTATTGACTGTTTTCTCGATGTGACAAAATGTTTTGTCGACCCTCGAACCAAACTGTCTGTCATTGGCCTAACGGCCTCAAGTAGACAGTTTGGTTCTTGGGTCCGACAAAACGCATATTGCCCTCGAACTCAGTCAATAAATGTATAATGTTACGGTACAAATATAACAGTCACCATGGGTAATATCAGCTTGGACACACCTTAATCTATAATATTCATGTATACACGAAAAAAAATGTACAAATCTTTGATTATAAGTCAACTAACTGTCCTAGAGTTTGGAAAGGTGACGTAATGATACAGCTCTGACCTCTAGTCAACTTTGAGTAGACTTTTAGTCAATTTCCATTTCACCGAGTGCCATACTTCCTACTGTGTTAGACACCGTTAAAAAAGGTCTTCCTCCTTAAGGACGTTCGATCCTGAGATTTTGAGCGTATTTTGGTCAGGTCCTTTATTTATAAAATTCTGTATCATTTTTAAGTTCTAACATTTAATCTAAATTCTACATTGCAAATTTAGCTATATTCAATGAAAAAACCACGATTAAATTCTATTCAAGTAGAATTAAGCTAGGGACTAAATTTTGTAGCGGAAGGTTTTTTAGACGAAAATGATCAGTTTTTCCATTTTGAACTATAACAGTACTGTTAATTTTAGATTCCTATTTTTCCATCCTGGTTGCACACAAATCTGTTTTTTTGCAGTGAAATGTGTTATGCTGGTTCTAAAATATCTATTAACTTATTTGTTATAAATTCATTCAACAAAGTGTGACAAATATAGTAAATATATTCTGAAAAACCCATTTAAAAAATTGAGCTAATTTTAACGTAAAATTGCCATTTTTTTTTATTTATATCTGAAAATTTACATCATATACCCCCACTTTTGATGTTCTTTTCTAAATATTCAAGATATATTTGACCTATTTGCTTAAAATCAGAAAAAGTTTAAGACTTTATAATAATTTCCTTGCTTATTAAATTTTCAATGCCAGAAAAAAAACTTTTTATTAGTGCAGAAAGGTCAAATACCGGTAATTAATTATGCGAAGCAATTTGAAACTTTTTCTTAGTCACAATTTTTAAGTGTCTTTTTTTAAAACAAACTTAGAGTTCATTTTGTTTCATGCTCTAAATGGATAAAAATATTGGAGTGAAAATGACAAAAATTTAATTTTTAATTAAGACACAAATTTCAGTGCAAAAAGGTCATATTAAATGTACTGTAGCGCCAAAAGAAGCGTATGGACCCACATTTTTTTTATTTGGATTTTGATTAAGCTATGTATGTAGAAACTAAAATTATACTTGGCAAAAAAAGTTTAAGACTTTAAATATCAGGATCGAACGTCGTTAACGACACTCGCACTCCTAAAACCTCGGTTTGATTTTTGTCCAGATCGAGAGGGCAATGTCGTTTCCTTTAAATCACATTCATTCAGACTTTCAGACAATGAACACTTTCCATGTGACAACACAGTAGAATATAAACATGATAAAATTATAATGAAAAAAAAATACTTTTTTTCATATTCTTTTATGAACTCAACATTGAAAAAAAAAATCTTTTTAATGAAGTAGATGTGAACTTCACAGGATTTAAATAAGTGTAATTTGTGTGTTAATATATCAAAAATTAAATGAAACATCTCATCATACCCATACCATATATATTTTCTAAGATACCTCCATTTTCTTTGCATATCTCTCTCAAATCATTATTACCTGGCACCTATACATATACATTTTTTAGTTTATGTATAGTTATGCATGTTTCATTTATATTTTGAGAGAAAAAACCAAAGTTTGAGTAACGATAAACAAGAGTAGTATAAACCGTCTAGATAGCCCGGAATTGACGTCATAACCGGAAGTGGTTTAACCGGAAGTGCCCTAGGTGGAAGTGGGCTAGCGGAAGCGGAAGTGGTCTAGCTGGACCCTAAGTGGTCTAGCGGAAGCGGAAGTGGGCCCTAGCTGAAGCGGAAGTGGCCTAGCCAGAAGTGTCCCAGCCTGAAGCAGGCGAGGTCAATATCTAGGACATTATGCAAATGAGGTCAAAAAATGGTGGATTTTGATTGGTTGGGAGGATAAGGGGGTCAAGGGAGTGCATCCCCTGGGGGATAGGGGGGTCAACTCAGTACAGTCCTTGGGGAATAGGTGGATCAGTACATAGATCCCCTAAATACGGGGTGTTTACACTGTGTTTACATTAAACTATACGCTGCTACTACGATTTTGGCAGCGACTCAAGAATGTCATTATGACGTCACGCATTCATTCACAGTCTAGACGGCCTAGCCTAACCAGTTCAAACTGGATTTTTTTTACTGAAAACAAGAACACTAACACACAATACTAGAACAAGAACACAGATTTTATTCAAGTAAAAAAATACAACAATTTACTTTTTCTTCTTCTGTCCCTTATCACTCATCAGGGGTAGTTTCCTCTTGCTTTCCCTCTCCTTTTTCTTGAGATTGTTCTTCTTCAGGCGATAGAGGGATGCGACAATGTACATACAGGAACTCTTCTCCCCACGATAAGGTCCACTCTTTTTTTCCATCCAGAATTTTTATAAACGCAACAGAAATTATTTAAAATGGCCACCGAATTTAAAGTACAAAAAATTTTGGTTGGAAAATAGAATTGGATCCTGAAGATTTTGAGACCAATTATGACACCAGAGAGGAAAAATACTGTCTGAAGGAGAGAAAAAATGGTTATTACGGTTATCAAAAATACCAATTGGAGATCAAGAGTGGACCTTATCGTGGGGAGAAGAGTTCCTGGAAAATTTCACTTGTGGATTGTTTTCATCAATTGGAAGAAAAGAGGATTAGCGAAGAAAAGAAGCTTATAGGAATTTTTACAGATAGGTCTATTTATAAAGTGTATGTACATTGTCGCATCCCTCTATCGTCTGAAGGAGAACAATCTCAAGAAAAAGGAGAGGGAAAGCAAGAGGAAACTACCCCTGATGAGTGATAAGGGACAGAAGAAAAAGAAAATGTAATTGGATGTATTTTTTCATTCTGAATAAAATCTGTGTTCTTGTTCTAGTATTGTGTGTTAGTGTTCTTGTTTTCAGTAAAAAAAATCCAGTTTGAACTGGTTATGACCCAGATGTGAACTTGAATGGATTTCATAATGACATTTTGTGTGCCAATATATTAAAAATTAAATGTAAACACAGTGTAAACACCCCATTAGGGGAGTATGTGCTGATCCACCTATTCCCCAAGGACTGTACTGAGTTGACCCCCCTATCCCCAAATCATTATTATCCTCCCAACCAATCAAAATACATTTTTTGACCTCATTTGCATAATGTCATTTATATCCGAGAGAAAAAAAATTAGACCCTTTATACTACTAACAAGCACTGAGAGATTTGTAAAGCCCATTATCAACAAGTCTAATATGATTTTCCTTAAAAGATATAAAAGCAGCAATTCCAATTTCAACCTCACCAAAAATCAACTCAATATCTGCAATCGTGTACGCAAAAGTGCGGGAAAACAAGTTGGAGAGCTAAAGACATATATTTACTGACATAAAGAAAAAGAAGGACCTACAAGTAGTCAGAGGGACTCACAGACAGACAGACAGACCAAGGGACTAACAGAACAAGGGGCGCACGTGCAGGCGGGCAGGTGATTAAAAAAATTTATTAGAGTCCCCTCCGGTTTCATCGGTATCGGACTAAGAAACAGTGATTCGGCAGAGAAACGGTAATCGAACTGAGAGATTTAGAACCATTTCAATACAATTTTCATTTGGATGAGTCACTCTTAAACAATCACCCTATATAACCCCTCAAAACACAACAGGGGGATCAACTGCTCAAAATAAAACCGTCACTGGTTCCACTTTGGTGTAATACTGCAGGACTTCTATATATTCCGACCACCAGGGGGCGACGACAGCCGGGTATCACTGATCACCCGAAATAACCCCAAAACACCAACGAAGAGTTGTAAAAATCCGAGAGGCGTTATAAAATATGTCCGTTTGCGGTCATTAAGGTATAAATGCTATTAAATGCCCGTTAAAATCAGTAATTGTGCGTCGTTTTCAAATACATACTTTTATCAAGATGTATAAAATTGCACAAATTGTAAACCACATTTTACAGAAATCGGCGCATGATACGGGGGTTATTATCAAGTGATAAATACACAGTATGTACAGTATTCTCCATTATAAAAGGTGTCTAAGTGCGCTTTATAAGTCCTCAAAGTTTTCTAAATTTTAAGGTGTTTGCCTGGAGTAAAAAAGAAAATAGAAAGTACATTACTTTATCAAGTCATTGAAAAATAAATTGATTTAAACAATATTTATTCAGAATACCGAATAGGTTGAGCAACAAGCAAACTACCAATAAATGCCCTCTCTATACAAAGTCAGAGGGTAACAAATACGATATTTACATTGATGTTAAGACTCTGCATGAATTTTTTTGATAAAACACCATATATATATTGCTCATACTGGACAGTCAAAAACTCAAACAGAATTCGTGTCCTTGAAAACTGAAGTCGAATGGTTAATTTGTTTTTATCGTGTCTTTGATAATTATCAGAACTTCCAATTCCCTCTGCATGACAATCTCCTTAAACTATCACTGCCAGGGGTCCGATGGTACTAGATTTGACCATTATAAGAGTTCCAAAGTATACAAAACTAGAACCCAAAGGAACTTCCGGAATGACTTTCTGTAACGAGATTTTGAAACAGAAATCTTTTACCGAGACAAGTTTCGCATCCGGGGATTTATAATCGTAAACATCTTTTTTCACTCTGTGCTACATAATTTCCAAACTGAGATTAACAGCGATTAAAGTTAAGCCCAAACTTACACACTTATAAAAGGACTGTATTTTAATGTCCCATAAAGTGTAGAAAAATATCAAAAGAAAAATTTTATTAAAGCAATTTGAAGATAAATGAATTGTACAGTGTGCGTTCAGTATGCGTGACGACTGCTCGGTACGTATTGATGGGCGATCAGTAGATTCGGGTAATTTAACACTGAGGCTGCTAAAATTGAGATATCATGTCCGCCTTTGATTAACGCCGCTAGTTACATCTTATTTCCGAAAAGGAAACGAATGGTTAGAAGAAAACGAGGTGAGCTGTCTCCTTCATGGGCTTGATCTCGGTGGAGTAGACGCTTATTTCACCCAGCACCGCAATAATAGCTGTACACTGTAGCCGGACTGAAGAAAAACATCTGCCCCTCCATGATAAATCATTAATTTAACTGTCTTGATTCGATTTTCCGACGAATTTCTGCAAAAGACGTCGTTAATTATTTATACAAAACGGTTTGGAGATATAAGTGTTTAATCTAAGTCGAGGATGTACCAATTAAGGCCGTAATGATTGCTGCGTTTTGATTGGTTGTGAGGCGCAAAGCAGGTGACGTGAACATGACGGCACGCGCGCTGTTACGGTAGCTTGGATTCCGGTATACCACGTGACCGAAGCATAAGATCGGCAAAGGTCTGATATACCGTGACCACAAACAGAAAACGGACCAAAAGGAACCGAAGCTCGCAGCAGTAGCTCCTCTCAGAGTTGGCGGAGATTGCACTTGGAAAAGGTGAACAAGAAAAATTGAAAAACCTTTACTGGTAACTTTTTATTAATTACATGAGATAAAAATAAGCATAAATAATACTTTACTTTTCTTAAGGTATTGAATACTTTATTTAAAAAAAAATATTGATATTTTTTTCCCCAAAATTGTACTTGTGTTAGCGGATTTTTTAGGAGTTAAATTTAAACTTCTTTTATGCACCTTTGAGAGCGCACAAGTTGTGACGGATATTTTATGAAATTTATGAATCTTGTATTTAACCGAAATATTTTGAAGACATTATTTTAAAAAACCATGATAACTTTAATCTAATGAAATTCTATTCTTTTTCCAGAAATTCGGGCTGCCGTCAAAGAAACCATGCCACATACTGGTGAGTGACTTTTTTTGTCTTAAAACATTAATTCAAATAATCAGCTGTTCATTACCAAAGAAATATTTTTGCATAAATTCTATATTATTTTGCTTGCATGGATCGCGAAATATTAACAAAAATGTATTTTATAAATTCATCAAAATTCCTATTTTATTGAATAACTTTAAAAATTATATATATTATTGGCCATTAAGGAAAAGTATTACAAATTTCTCCTACCAAATTGATTTATAGCTGAAAAAATTCAACTACCAATAAAATAAAATTGATTTATAACTTAAAGTTTTGACAAACTTGATTATATTTAATCAACAAAAAGAGCTATCAAATACAGTATCAATTGTAAATGGCCTTTTTAAAAAAAAAAATTAAAGCAATCAATTTTATTAATTGTATATGGTCTTTTCGACCGTTAAAGTTTCTTTTCTTAACCACTAGTTCTTATTATATATAAATCATTGATTATCATACTATTAGTCATTGAAAAAAGTGCTACAAAATGATTGTGTTGAAAGGGGATTTATAGCTAAAAAATCTACTAACTGAAACAAAATAAATATCTGTAAAACATAAGAATCGTAACAAAATAAATATATGATTATTAAATATTATCAAAGGTTGGACAAAAATAGTTTATTAAATACTCAATCAACTTACAAAGCTATTCGGTACACTATCAATTATGTATTGCCTTTTTGATGTTTAAAATCAATGTCCAATGAACATCTTTTTTATTGTTAATGCTCTTTTCCGTTGTTAAAGTTTTTTTTTTTCTTGTTCACCAATTCGTATAATGTATTAAAGTCAGAAATTGTTTTTTAATATAAAAAACAAATTTTATTTCTTATTAATTTCGTAATTTTAACATAAATAAATTCTGTTCGAAATTTTTTTTCAAATTACATGTACTTCTAAAGCAATTACCGGTATGTTTAATAAAATGACCAAAAAAAACACATAGTTTTAGACAACATTTGCTCATCATGATTATTCATGAATAAAAATACTAATTATATTTGATACAATGAAAGAAAACAAAAAGCTACGAAATGTACGTCAACGTTAACTAACATCTAAATGGCTTACAGTTTATAAAACGAACGACGGAATTTTTTCGCTAAATTTCAAAAGGGAGTTTAATTAATGCAATGGATAAATCGTTGGAACTTTTAACTTAAAAAAATCTATTGAAATGGAAATTTAATAAATTCATATTTCTTATTAATTTTTTTTAATATAAACACACTAAAACAATACATGTATATACATTTCCGATAATCAATAACTAAAGGATATATTAAATTAATACACCTTTTCAATTGTTCTTATTGTTACTGTTGGCTGCCTAGGGTAGCTCTGCTTGTATAGTCTCCGTTTCTTTCTCGATCTCTATATTTATTAAAGCTTAGATACAAAAAAGTATTAAATTTTAAAAGTATCAAATTCTCCCTCTTATACTTTTGGTCGATTAGAAAAATATATCAAATATATATATAAATACGCTTATCAAAAATATGTAAAGGAAAATTATAATTTTCAAAGCAGAAAAAATAAAGCATAGAACAATTAAAAATTATATTGTTTTGAAAAAGAAAATTATTTGAGACAATATAAATTCCGTTAGCCTTTTAAATTTCCATATGAAATGAAGAGTTGGAAATTAAAATTTACATTTGATAAAATTATCTTTTACACCCCTAACAGACGGGTTACCTTGGGCAGCTTGAACCTCAATAAATTAATTATTAAAAGGAAAACAGACATGCATTGCTGAATGTCTTGAAAAAAAAAAAGATACCGATAAAAAATAAAATGTAAGGAAAATGGTTGCTCTGATCGCGGTTTAGCAATGAATGAATAATAATTTTAAAATCGTACAGAGAGGACCCGACAGATATATATATATATATATATATATATATATATATATATATATATATATATATATATATATATATATATATATATATATATATATATATATATTTACATTATTATTTTCTAAACATTTCCTAAGATTCCTTGTAAAATTGTTCAACCGCTGATGAAGTAGCATGGATAAGCATGAAAATCTCTTATAGTACCTACTGTTTTGCTTTGAAAATGCTAGCTGAATGCCATAAATATACACTGTACATGTATATCATATCAATCGTTCACCTAAGAAATGCATTAAATATTTGAAAATTTACGAGGAACATGAACTTAACGCTTCCGTTTTTTATAATAAAAATACGTAAATTGTTATAGGTCATGAGATCTTGTCCTCATGAATTTTAAAAATAAGATTCATTTCTGAAGTAAACGACATAAATGATAATTAAAACATATTTGAGACTTGAATGAAGAGTGGATTATTTTGAATCTCATCAGATGGTTTTTTTGTAAATTCAATAATAAAATCATGAAAATATAAATTTCTGATTTCAAATCGAAAATGATTATTAAAGAAAATTTCTATCTACTCACTAAACGTAGACATTAAGTTACGCCCAGCAATAAAAAGTGAGAGTTAATCAATAAATCCGATGTTTATGCGGGGATAGTGATTATCAGTGATAATATATGGGGATTTATTTAATTAGCTAAATCAAGAAACACGGTTTTGTAGCAGTTTGACTAGAATGCAATCACTTTATGATACATTTCTTTAAAACATGAATCATATGTTTCTTATAATGAAGTAAAAATAATATATTTTTCACGACAAAAAGAGAAATAGGAATTAGTTAGATTTTAAGATTAATCTTACTTTTGTGACGTTTTGACAATAAAAAAATTAAAAAATCACGAAATAATTTACATTACGCAGAAAAACGCTTTTGATGAATATTCAGAATAATGTTTCACATCCACTTTTTATTAAGACAATAGATTATACCCCGGTATATGTTTCTGGTTACTCCTATCTCTGTCAGTTTAGCTTTATATCTCTCCGAGTTAAACAAATCCTCTCAGTAACGATATCACATGATATGATCTATTTATTTTTTGAATGAGAAGAATTTAAAAATAGAGAAAGATTACGGAAAACAAGTAGATCTGAACAATTTATAAAACGAGGTAAATTATTTACAGGCAAACTGCTGAAAAAATATCAGCAGTATCGTTTTAAGTCTTTATTTCGTAAGGTCTATGGTCAATACAATGACTGTTTTTGACAGCAAATACAATTATCATTAAGTCGAATTCTGACTGATGGTTTTAAACTAATTGTTAGTCCATTATTTACACACTAAATTGACGACGGATTTCTCCGTTATGTCCCGATCATGACAAGGAGCACACGGCGGGTGTGACCCGGCAACAGGGGATGCTCACTCCTCCAGGGCACCTAATAACACCTCATGACGATGTTTAGGAGGTCCGTCTTTGCTATGCTCCAATTTTGAATTGTTTAATGGATCTTTGAGCTTGAAAACAGTTCTTTAACTCAATATATTTCATTCAAAACTTTCACCATTTGCTTAAGTCATTTTTCTGCATATGAAATATAAGGAAACTTGTGTACAAATATTCGTCATCTTCTATTGTGATTTATAATTGAAATAAAACAAGTCTTTTATGATTTTTTATGATCTTGCTTATTGTGTTCTGGTAAGAATTAGAAGCCATTTAGACATAATTTAATGGAGCATAAAAATATATTGACTTTTCTTTATCCTTAAGCCATTTCTATTAATGGTTATTTATCAATTCATGCTTTCCCCATTTGATGATCATTTCTTAATTCTGGATCTTTAAGAATTCCCAAAGCTATTTATTATACGAAATCATAGTCGACCATTTGTCTCGGGCCATATATGGAACACTGATTTGAACTATATGTAATTGAAGAAGATCAAAGTTTTCTATGTAAATAAGTATATATATATAGGTTTATTTACATACGTGAACACTTTGACCGGCTGTTTATCATATATATATGTATACTTCATATAAGGTAATGATTTTACTTATACCCAAACATTAGGTTGTGGTGTTTAAAGCAACGATTGTAGAGAAAAAATATTTCTCGTCGTTTTAGGAAAATATTCTAGTTATTGGGATTGATGAAAGTTACATATCCACTCTAGCAGATAAAGTAACTCAGTAAATTTTTTCTCATATACGTAAACTTCATGGACTCGATTTTTTTGGCCATATGTCAACGTCAAAATTTCAATCTTCTCCAAATACATAAAATTTAAACTGACATTCACGTTTTGATAATGTACATTGAAATTTGAACCAATACGTATAGTTTAAAATTTCAATAAATGAATTGTGATAATAATGAACAGTGCTCATTCTCTTACAAAACTTTTTTTGTTTTACAAAGTTCACACACTTCAATAAGATAATTTTTGTGTTTAAAATTATATTTGAATTGTTTTTATTTTATTTGATCATTTTATTATTTTTTTTTTTTGCTACATGTCAATGTCAACATTACAATCTTCTCCAAATACATAAAATTTAAGAGAGAGACTTACATTTTCAAAAGATGTAACAGCTGTGAAATTTGATACCCAGTAAAAATATATATGGTGTGTTAGTTTAAAATTTCAATAAATGAATTACAAAATGGCAGAATAATGAACAAAACATGCTGCATTCTGCCTAAGACCTCGACCGGTCAAAATGTGCTATGTTTCACAAAGTTCTGTACTTCCCTGTCAAAAAGATAATTTTATGCAAATTATGCATTTAAAATTATATTACTGAATGTCAAATTTTTTTTCTGACAAGAATCAAATAGAACTTATAAAAGACTTTAAATTGCAAAAAATTTGTCAACAACTTTTTTAAAAATTGTGCATGCATGTGTTAATATCTAGTTATTTCTCAAAAAAAAAGAACAGAAATGAGATATAAAACTCTAGTATAATTTTCTATAAATAAAAAAAGATAAACCACGTGTAAAGGATCATATTATGTAAATTTTTTAATTAACAATTCTGTCTGTTTCATGCTTTTTAGATACGTTTTTAATAACAATGACAGTCATTATGGTGTGTTATGTTGGTCAAATGAATGTGAATAGTAGCATTAAAGTTTTGAAGAGTTGGTTTGAAACTTGAAAAGTTTTCCTTTGGGTTTTAATGTCTTTTCAGACTTAAACTAAGGCCAAATTAGGTGAGTCAGTGAGACGCTGGGTGCTTAGTTATTTTGTAATTGTCCGACTTCAAATAAGAAAAAAGGCAAAGTTGAAAGAGTTTCTTATCAACACAAGCCGAAAATAACACCTCTAGTTCACTTTGATCATAAACCAAGGAAAACGATTCATATACCAGGGCTATCAAAACAAAATATTAATGACAATAATAATATATATTTTTTTAATTTTTCAATTTAAGAGATATGGTAAAATCGAAGGTGACGCATGAGCCAATGAATTCAATTGAATACATTAAATGGAACTACTGGTTTCCGAATATCACATGGCAATTACATGTAGTTATTCAAAATATGCTTTAATAAAGGCATAAAAACGATTGTGATTCTGTGACGGTGTAATGACTGTAAAGGTATCGAGTACACCTCAAAAGAAACAAGATGGCTCTTAAGGGTGCGTTCGTGCGCCTGCCGCCAGTATAGGACGATTGATCACGGAGATTGCACTGTAACCATTGAGAGAAATGTCTCCATCTTGATAAAGAAGCGATAAAAACACGTGCTACGTAAATTTATAGAAATCTTTACCATTCATCGATTACAATAATGATCGAAAAATTGTATAAATTTTTCTTTGTTATTAGTTAATGGGTGACAAAATGAATTCCACTGTGTGATATATTTTAATGATAATGTTACAAACACATGCTATTTTAATTCAGTTATGTGGCGACTGGGGGTAACCACTAATTATTACTTTTCATTATCTCATCATCAAAAATGTGTCAAAAACTTTACAGAGTATATTAAGAAAACCTTTCCTTATCAAATAAAAATAAAATGAATAGCGAATTTATCTTGAAATATCAAATTAAGAAGAAAGAAAACTGATAATTTGAACTTTCAGACTACTGTGTTATTTATAGTAACCTAACAACACGTTATGATAAACATGATGTAACATATGGAGATAACGAACGGTATTCAAAAGTCCATAAAACAATACAAAATGGAAGCAGAGCAAACATGTGAGGTGGGATAAGGTGCCATGGACGAGTGAGCATCCCCGATTGCCAACTTTCCTGTCTCAACTAGGAATGTCAATAGCCATCAAGTTGATGAAACTAAAATAAAAATTTTAATTCTTATAAATATATTTTTATGTTTTATGGATGAAAAATTACAATGAAATTTGTTAGCAAATACAATCTATAGTGAAATGGGGGCACTGTCAAGATATGGACCATTTGTCGTGTTTTTATACACAATTACATACTAAAACGCTTCAATAAACAAAGAAATTTACAAATTAAAAAAAATACATGATGAAATTCTTTGTTTTTCACATATATCATGCAATTTTCATTCTTCTTATAAAAAGGAAAAGAAAATTGGAGGTAGCGTTTATTGCAGTGAAAAGGGGGCATGCCAAAACACAAATTTTGAATTTATTCTATCCAACTACGTATTTTATAGGTCGCAATGGGTTTACATAACACCAACAAACGACTGCAATACTTTATTCGTTTCTAAAAAAATAAATAATTCTTACATTATGAAATAATTTTCTCGCCATGCTTTATTTTTCTTTTAACAATGTTCTACATGGAAAAAGGGGTAGAGGGAGGAGGGGGGGGGGGGTTAAAGGCGACAAAATTGCGATTTTTACTAATATCATGTAATATATAGAAAAATAAAATATTTGGGGGTTGCATTTAAATGATTCAGAGACTTATTTTATTTTTTAAAACTGAAGATAATCCATGCATATTTAAGTCCACAATAAAAAGAGTGTGTATAAACACTTCAACATGTTCAAAGAGAAAGACTAAAGTCATTTACTTTTGGTTGCAGTGTTTCATTTGTTGACTCACAAATTGAAATAAAACAAGATAAACTTAATGAATCTGTACCAGAAAATTGATTCCTCAAAAGTAATTAGGTTCCAAAGTTGTTTATTAATTTAAATATTTAAAGAAAAAATAATAGAAATGCCAGCTTTCAATGCATAGTTTATAGAGCTACCAGGTAAGCAAGATCAGCGAAACATTTTAGCGCAATTTGACGTCAGTTTAATTGTGACGTTATTGTGTTCAATTGTGACGGCAGTCAAGGGTATTGTGACGTGCCTGAGTCGACGCTGCGTTAAAACGTATGCGCAGATCAAGTAGATTGGGCCTCGTTAAGTTTCAGCATACTCTTATCAGCTACATACGGGTTTGACCGATCAGGTGATTCATTACACATGCTCTATGAAAACTAGGCATGCTAATAGCCACCAAGTTGATGAAACAATAAAAATAGTCTTATAAAAATTAAAATAACAAGTTTTATGGACGTTACAATGATATTGTCAGCAGATACAATCTATAGCTATCGTTGAGTCAAATGCTGACTGACAATTCACATATTACAGGTAATTGTTAGGTCATAATTACATGTAACACCCTTAAGTTTCTACGGATTTTTTTTATCTGTAACCTTGTTATGACAAGAAGTATAAAGTGAATAAGACCGGTCGACAAGGGATGCTTACTCCTCAATGACATCTGGTCCCGCCTGTTGTATTTGTGATATCCATGTTTGCTTTGCTCTCGATTTGTATTGTTTGAATGAGAGTTGAGCTTAAACACTGTCTGTTTTTATATATTTTATTGAGATCCACATCTTGAATCAAATTATTTATAGACGCCTCGTGTAGTAGATGATTGTTTACCAATAAAGAGTCTGAAGTGTTCTATTTCCTAGGGTGATTCTGAACAGCTGTCGACAATGTTGTAGACAATGAAAAGAAATTATATTTGTCTCGAGGTTTTTTTTCTCAGTGTTTCATTTGTTGATGGATATTTGAAGGTCAAACTGGGGTCAATCAGCTTGGAGGGGTCTTTGTCAATGGACGGCCGCTTCCGGAGCATGTCAGACGCCGAATCGTGGAGCTTGCTCACATGGGAGTTAGACCATGTGACATTTCCCGCCAACTTTTAGTATCACATGGTTGCGTCAGCAAGATTCTCACGAGATATTACGAGACCGGATCCATTAAACCAGGGTCTATTGGCGGAAGCAAACCGAAGGTAAATCTGATATGAAAAGTAAAAGTGAACTGATATCACAGCTGTTTACATTTGCTGATCTGATTCATATCACATGTAGATATAACATTTTTGTATATTAAATTAACACAGAATAATTTTCTGTCTCCTCATTAATTTATACAAAAAAATGTGATAACCGATGGATTAGTCAGCCTCCTTAATAATTTTCTGACATATTGTTTTTAATTTTAGCAAGTTGCCACGCCTTACATTATCAAACGTATACTGGACTTCAAACGACAACATCCGGGCAGTTTTGCTTGGGAAATCCGAGATCAACTCCTGACTCTCGGAATCTGTGACGAGCAGACTATCCCGAGTGTCAGTTCTATAAATAGAATCCTCAGAAATTCTGGTACATTTTCCTTCGGATACAATGCAGAGGAACTCATGGGATATCAGTCTATCTATGGTCGCTATCAAGGAATTCCGGGCATGTTGGGGTCAGCCTGTCCAGAAACAAATGGCTTCTCATTGGGTGTTCCTGGCCTGTCGTACCCAAGACTCGTGGAACAGATTAATGATACCAAAGGGGATCCGAAGGAAGATGGGGATGGTGAAGAGACCATGGAACAAAAAGGTATCTTTGTTTTATTTTAATTATTTATTGCATACAAATGTTTAGACACTGTCAGTGGAATACATACCTCGGCTCCAGGGCCATAAATCCTAGACGAGTGAAGGATATGGAGATAACGAACAGTATTCAATATCAAAGTCCATAAAACATATGAAACAGGAGCAGAGCAAACACGGACCTCCAAAACATCAGAGGTGGGATCAGGTGCCATGGAGCTCACTTTTGATCTCAGTATCACTTTTCCACTAGTTATTCATTTGGTAAAAGTGGGGAAGAGATCAGAATGGAGCTTGTCTAAGTTTTATGTCCCCGGTTAGTCATATAGACCATGATTAGTCATATTTATATTAAACTTAATATCATGGCATGCCGTATTCACAAAAATGAGCTAAACATAGTTTCACAGTTGATAAACTAGGTTTATCGACTGTAAACTATAGTTCACAAACCATGCACTATAGTTTTCATCTGTTAAACTATATTTAACTATCAACTTTAGTTTACTAATGATAATCTAAGTTTATCTGTATGTAATAAAACGTTGACAAAAGATTTTGTTGATAAACATAGATTTTGGAGTAAACTATAATTTAAATATATATTTTTCTGACATGGTTAATTATAGTTTCACAAACCTAAAATCTTTTTAAATTTTATATTATTAAGTGTTGTAAATCATAGTTTACAAATTCGTGAAACTGTATTTATCAGATAATCTATGTTATTAAAGTGCAAATGATTGTTTTCAGTTTAATATAGTTTACGGTTTGAAACTATAATTAGTTTTTTTTTAACTATAGTTACATATGTAAAATATAGATTAAAGTTGTTACATTAAGTATATATCAGAAAACTTTAGTTTACAAGATATTAGTTTATCAACTGTGAAACTATCATAGCCATTTTTTGTTAATATATATATAAACATATAGCTTTCAGGCGCGGTCACACTTGCTCATTTGGTTTATCGCTCGCTCCCTGATCGAAAGTAAAGAATGGGTAGCAACTGTTCCTTTGCCAGGCGCTCGTTATTTTGAAATGAAAGTTGAAAATCTTTCTGGGTTGGTGGAGTTAAGGGTTTTTTTTGATAAAGCGTAAACTGTCCTAATCCAGTTGCACAGGATTCTGGGTAGTTAAGAGGTTCATTTACTTATTATTTTAGGCCTTATGATAATAATTTGTTGTGAGAAGGAAATTACAAACATACTCGTACAACTACAGTCAGTCTTGTAAACCCATTTACTGTTTTCTGTCTAATTTGCTACTTAATGAAACTTATAAGAAACATAAATTCTGAAGTTGATTTTTCTTTGAGAAATTACAAATAATAGTTGACCTTGGCCTTCAACAGGAAAAAATCCACATTTTGAGTTGTTACTTTATAAAGTTGATTTGGCCTTGAACATGAAAGGGGAACCATTACGAACACATTTATTTGCTCAATATTTCATTGATTTAAAATTCCTTTGCATCATTTAAAATCATTCATTTTGTAGGACACATCTGCTACAAAATCATAATTTTAAACTTTTTTCAAAAAGAAAAAGCAATTTTAAGAGAGAATACCGGCCGGCAGGCTTTCCTATAAATCCTCAAATTACTTTGTTTAATCGTGGTTATGTGTTTGTGCGCCCATAAATAGTGAAATATAGTCGGACATGTCAATCTCGCCAAAGGCGAATCATTAAGGTGCAAAAAATATCATAACTGCTCCTTTAAAGTTATAGAAAGAAACATCAAGAAAGAATCTTTTTTACTCAGATCGTTAGAAATTCGTCACGCTACGATTATTAAGCATATCGGAGAAATACGGGGCCGCTTAACTCCTGTCAAATCTATCAGAATCACCTTTGATGTATTCACATCACACGGTGCACATTGCGCCGTCATAAAATAAGCCCCCTTACATCACATCAAATAAGATTTGGGTCCGGGAGTCAAATCAAAGAACTTCGATGGCCAATTTTCCCGTTTTGCCCCATTAAACCCTCCAAGTCACGGTGATTAAATGTTTATCATACAGGGATGAGAAGATGCGTAATTACCCAGCAAGCTTTGTCAAATTATTACATCAATTACCCAGCATGCTTTGTCAAATTATTACATCAAAAGACGATTCAGTTTTTAACTTTAAATGTTTTGCATGATTATGATTTTTACTTCTTTTTTTTTTTTTTGCTTATTAAAATCGGTTTTTGGTGTTTTGAATACCAAAAGCGGACTTGTAGATCGACGGACAAATTAAACTGTTTACCGACAAAACATTCAGATAATTATATTTTTAAATACGCGATAAATAACTTGGTGTAGTTACTGGGTACATCATTCACAATCATACAACATAACGCCTCTCATGTACCGATTTACCCGACGCAGTTCAAATTAATTGAACATTGAATTGGGAACTTCATTTAAGGTATTTTGGTTTATTGGGTGAGAAATATTATCATTTTGAAATCAACTCAAATACAATTTAAAAAAAAACATCGAAAATATATGAAAAATCAGTATATTAGAAGTTGGCATGTGAATTTCGCCTAAAACACACTTGTTTGATAATGTTCATGCAGTTGATATTTTTCATATGTCGTTATATTTAGATAGATCATTTCAAACTAGTTAAAAATACAGTGATACGTACAGAACAATAAAGGTGACATGAAACAAATTCGCCTGACTGATAACATGTAAGACGCCGGTCAGTTTCACATTAATATTTTTTGAACAGTTATCTGCACTTGACCCCCCCCCCCCCCGAAAAAAAAATTCAATTTGTGATAACAGTTACTATCTGTAGTAAATAATGAATGTTATAACATAGCTTAACAAAGACAGAGTCTAAACATAAAGATTGGTATGAAATTTAAATTATTTTATTACACTATTATAATGATAACACATGCGCTGTCTATGGACTTCAATGTAAAATTCAAGATGCAGTTAAATTTTATATGTGTCTTTGATGGAGATTATTATTTGAAAACACCTCAAAATGCTGTCAGGATAAAAATATCGGACCATGCATTCATTTAATAGGTACAAAATATGGTCGTTATACACTGAATACCTAAAAAACGGCTACAGCGAAATATATATTTTTTCTCTCTTTAAGTTATACTCAGAGATTAAGAATACATGAAATTAAATTCAGAAAAAAGTGCTCATTTATCACTAACACCAAAATACACTGTACATTCAAATATCGATTTTTGAAGCGAAAACTTATAATAAAAAAATCTCCGCAGTCGTATTGTGATTACGGTACTATCGAATTTTGTTTGATTTATCACAGAAAAGAAAGCGTTTCATGATGGGAATGTATTCATTGACTGCTTGAGAGAATGAACTTGAAAAAAAAATGTTTGATTATAACTGTGACTTAAAAACTAGTTGAGAGGGAGTGTAATGTTTTGTTTTGTTTTTCATAACTTGTGCTCAATCCAGTTTACTTAAAAATTGTAATAAAATATAATCCAATCTAGCAATTATTGTACAATTGAATATATTGAGATAACGAACAGTATTCAGACTAAAAAGTCCATAGAACAAAACAAAATAGGTGCAGAACAAAAAAGGACCTCCAAAACAACAGAGATGGGATCAGGTTACAACCAAATTCTATGCTATGATAAACGTGATGATTTTAGCTTTTCTATCGTCAACGTCCCTTACTTATTTAGCAATATACAAATGTACCTTCATCACATACAAACGGAGTTTATCAGCTGATTCGATACGCAAGAGCATGCTCTACGTATTAAAAATATCTAAAACGAGGAAAATTATTGACAAGCACGTTGATGAAACAAGAATATTAGATGTCTCGTTTAAAGTCATCATTTCGTAATTAAGTTCTACGCTCGATACAATGACCTTGTCAGCAAATACAATTTATCATTCAGTCAAATGCTGACTGACTTTTTTCATACTTATTGTTAGTCCATTATTTATACACTGAACTGACGACGGATTTTTTCGTTATTTCTCGATCATGACAAGGAGTACACGGCGGGTGTGACCGGTCGGTAGGGGATGCTCACTCCTCCATGGCACCTGATCCCACCTCTAATGTTTTGGAGGTCCGTGTTTGCTCTGCTCCTATTTTGTATTGTTTTATGGACTCTGATATTGAATATTGTTTGTTATCACCATATCCTTCATATCCTTCATGGAGGAGTGTGCATCCCAAATAAAACCTTCAGAACCATTTGTTATCGAATAATCATATTTATAACGTCTTATACTGAGTTGTATAACAGTTCTGCACACATAACAAAAAGACTTGTTCCAAGAAAATAATTCATTACAAAACGTACCTCGTACAGCTATGTCGCACTGATGATTAGCTTGAATGAGGTGAAAAATGGTGGGCCATTAACATCTATGATGTTTCTTTTACATCCAACCTTTTGAAAATTATTTCTTCAACAAAAACAAAATATCTTAAGTAATAATAACATGATACAAAATGTTTTCTTATTATTATTTTTCCTCTGATTTCTTTCTACCTTAAAATGTGTTTGAAGGGTAAAAATGATATACTCATTAATCCATAAATGTTCATAGGTTTATTTAAAGTATTTAAATCTTGATCTTAAACAAATCAAGAACATCCTCCGAATCTCTGAGGTTAATACTAATTGTATGATGTTTATACGTATTGGACAGAGTAACCGACACTTTGCCTCCTTTTGTAGTCTAATAAATAGACTTGTTTATTAATAAATATTGGATAAAGTGAACAACAATGTTTCCCTTCGTAGCTACATGTAACTCCGTACAATTGATTACGTACTGGAATAAAATGATGCCTCCCTTTGCAGCCTACTGTCTACCTTCTTTTTTATGTATTAGGAAGAGTTACTGACATTGCTACCCTGTGTACCGTACACTTAACATTTTCAGCGGATTAGATAGAATGAATGAGATGATGTTTTCATTTGAAGTTTACTTTTTACGGTTGTCCCTTCTTTTACAGAATCATCAAAACAGACCTCAAAGCCAAAGGACAAGAATGATGATGACGAATTCAGAATTGAGGAAAGGTTTCCTAGCTTGGCTGGAAAAATTAGAAATACAAATACATCAAAGACAACAGAAAATACAGAGTGTTCCTCAAGAGCGTCCAATAAATATAATGCTCCCAAACCAGACAGTTATGAAACAGATAGCCCAGGAGAAATACCCGTCGAAGGCACCAAGTCTAGTGTGAATTTGATAGAAAATAGAAGCTGTTATGATACGTACTTCTCCAAATGTTTAACATCTATGAGTACAAAAGCCACAAGAGATATGTCACCAAGCGGACTGTACTCGCTCTATCACCCCTATTCTAGGTATAGCGCGTCGTCACGTGGTTCTGACGTCACACCTTACGTCATTCCTAGATTGTATATGTTTCCAGAGAACTTCTCATCGCCTACACATTCCTGTTTGTCACATAATGAGTCGGGAATGTCGTCCAGCGGCAGAGGTTACGATCAACATGTGTTTAAACGCAGCTCTCTAAATTTAAAATGAACATGTCCTTTTTTTTTTTAAATGTTCTGCATTGTAAATTATTTCTGTGATGAAAAAGTTTTAACAGGTTATCAAAGTAGTATACTTTTGTGTCTACTAGAATATGTTAGAATAAAACATTTTAAAAGAGGAGTATGAAGATTTATAATCTGCTAACTATCCAAATAAGTTTGGCTGTATGGCGTCATCTCTTTCGGCGCATGTAAATCTTTTACACTGTAATCATTATCTATGAACCAATAGACCTTTGCTGCTTAATATTATGGAGAAACACCAGGTCAGAAAGAAACATTCTCTTTATCTACAACTTGTTTAACATGAAATGTTGAAAGAATAGTTGTTGTGGCCAGAGTGTGGTTATGATTGGGATTTTTTTTTTTTCGAAAAACACAAAATTAAGTAGAATGCAAATAAAAAATTCCTATCGTGATAGTTGTTAGTGGTGGTATTAAGTGATAAAAGTATAATCAAACAAAAGAAAATCTGTTGGCAATGCATATGCTTATTTAGAGTTGAGGAAGTAAAAAATGCGGTTATTACATCTTTATAGCAAGTAAGTATATCTGGAAAATAAATCTAGAATGCAGATATTACATTCTTTTAACTTTACAGGTCTTGCGATGATATAATTTATCATATTTGCTCTCAATATTCAAAAGTCTCAATGTACATTGTCCTAAAGAATACACACCCAAACCAATCCTCAAAAGATAACAAACAATAATTACACTAAAAAAAAACCATGGAATGAAACAACCTGAGAGCAGAGAAAACATGGACGTACAAATCAATCAGAGGTGAGATTAGATTCATTAGAGGAGTGAGCATCCCCTGTCGACCGGTAACATCAGCCGTATTCTTCATGTCATAATCATGCAACCGGGAAAAATGAAAGTTCAAACTGACAAATATATGGGCTAAGAGTTTGTTCGAAAAACTGCCACTCCACATTCTATGTAATGATAGATGATACTGCTAAAATGGTTATTTATCGACAAGGGAATTTGCAAAAATGTTGACTTTAAACGGGACTGTTTATATTGTTTCCTCAGCTTGTCTTTCAATAGTTTATCATCAATTTGTTTGCCAATAATTTACCTCGTTTTAGAAATTGTTCATACGTAAAGCATGCTCTTTCGAGCATGAGATATATAAACTCGCTATACAGGTGATGAAGGTATATTGCTGCATAAGTAAGGAACGTAGACGATATAAAAGTTCAAGTCATCATGTTTACCACAGAGCTTGGTTGTTAGAATATCATTAACGTCTTTTTCTAATAAAATATCCAAATATGAAACAGATATGCCACTTTGTGTGGCATCTTATATATTTTAAGCTCACCGGAACACGTATATAGTATCTAAATTAGAATAAAAATAACCATTGTTATTTGACAAAACATCGTAGATAGTTCTAAATATCGAGTGGAAGGCATAGCATTTTTTTTGGACAAAATCTGCTTCATATGAATTCAAAAATACATGTAGATCTGCTAATAACGGGATGCAATTTGTACCATTGGTATTCCAATAGATTGTTAGAAGACCTTGTGTCCAGAAACATCATAGCTATTGTCAATCAGAAACTCAAGCAGCATTTTATAATAAGTATCAACATCAGAGTACTTGTGCGTACAATAAGGATATGGAAAGGTTGGCAAATTTACGAGTTAAATTTTTATTGAAAAAGCAGCTGTAAATGATACTTAAAAAACACTGGACTTTAATTAATCGTGGTGAATGGTTTCATTTAAAAAGAAAACCTCATACGTTTTTATTGAATTGTGTTATAATAAAGGAAAATGATAAGTCATTCCTTTTGTGATGTACGATTTGTATAGTACGTATTACTTTCCATACATGTTTATATTCATTAAATAATTCAAATACGAGACAGACGTGACAAACATTGCGTATCTCTTATTTATTTTCCTAACTTACTGTGATCTGTTGAGTATTACTTCCGCAGGAAAAAAAATTGTTTACTGATAAAATGTTTAAAATAAATTCAAATATTGAATTTAAAGCCAAAGCAATAGTCATTTTCTTTTCATTTAGTTCTTGAATCAAATATTTCATCAAAGGAATACGAAAAGGTCAGTCATTAAAAAAAATATTTGTACCCTAAAGAATTCCAATTAATTTATGCAAAAAATACTAGTAGTCTCAAAACACTACAAATAAAGCATATCGAGTGCTTGTGTGTTAAAATCAAAATATATTTTTATAAAGCGGATAATGAAGCGTAAACATACATGCATTACTTCTAGGCTCTCATCTTAGGGCCAGGGGTGACTTTTATTTTGTCGAGAGAAGAATCCTTTACGCCTAGGAATACTGTAGATCACTAATTTTTCGCGACACCTTATTTTTGCGAGATTATCATTTACTCTTATTTAGCGAGACATAATTTTCACGAATTGTTGTTACCTCTCAATAAAATCTTAAGGCATACTATTATACGCAAGAATGAAATTTTCGCGAGCTTATTGTCTGACCTTTTAATTGTGCGAAATATGCACAAAAAAGTTCTCATCGAATAAAAAGTGATTTACAGTATGTTTTATGACTTTATATTGTTTGACTATTATTTCTCTTGTGAGAAATCCTATATGTCCATATCTTATCTGACCTTAAATTTCTCGTGACGGGCAGTCATACGTACGCATATTCATATGTTGTAGGACCTTTAAATTTTCGTCAAGATTTTATACATCTCTATTATCTGACCTTTTATTTCTTGTGAATGAAATATTGCACAAAAACCTTGTTCTATATTTCCTGACCTTGAGATTTTATACATTTCCAGTGTATGTTATTTGACCTTCAATTTTTTGGAAGGAACATCCTATACATCTACATTTTGTGACTTAAGTCTATAGTGAAGTGAAACATGGAGATTACGAACAGTAATCAATCTAGAATGTCCATAAAACAATAAAAAAAAAAGTAGCAGAGCAAACACGGACCTCCAAAATATCAGATGTGGGATCAGGTGCCATGGAGTGAAGGAGATCATTTGATTAATTAATTGTGTGAATTAAGACACATGACGGAGATCGTATATACATCTATATTGTGTGATCTCAAATTTCGTGTTTTGTATATTTAGAAAAATCATTCTTTCATTTTGTTCAAGTTTTCTTCTTAAATTTTTGAGAATATGTATTTGATTAACATTACTTCCTAAGATCCTGACCACAATAGTTTAATTACTAATTTTTTATTAGACGGAAAGCAAAGGATGTTTATGAGGTTTGGAATCCATAGTAGGAGCGGTAACTCAAAATCCTTCTCTTACAACGTTTGTCTTTGATGTTCAAATATTTAAAAGTGAAACAAACTCTGGTCTCTTCACCAGTAATTCAGGAATAAGAATCAAAATATGCATCGTTCAGCTAAGTTAAAACCAAACAGTCACACAAAATTTTAATGATGTAACAACGTCATTTGATTGGGTAGAAGATTTAATCCATTTCGTGTAACATATTAAAGTTGCTGTCACAAAGAACTGCGCTAAAACGTATTAATCCGCTTGACGTTACTTTTAAAATATGCTAAATTTGAAGCCCTTTTTCTGGAGAAAAAATTCTCATTGTCAACACTGAACTTAAATGATAAGGAGTGAGGCTTATTTTAACTTATTTTATAAAATATAACATGACTTGGGAGAGTTTACGTTTTTTTTTTAAAAAAAACCGCATTTCAACCGTTTATGCAATAAGCAGTAGTGCTGCTACCACACATGAAGTTATATCGTATAACATAGGTTCAAATAAGCTTCATTTTGTAAATAATTTTTATCAACTGTTTCCTTACATGTATCTTACGAAGACCAAATCAGGTACAAACTTGTAAAATTTGTTTATTTTCTGAGTTTTGTTTTCATGCATAAAAATTATGCTTCATTAAATCCAGGTTTCCAGTCGATTAAGACCTCGGTGATTTGAAGAATAACAAATGAAAAATGTGTAAATAATGAACAATGATTGATCTGAAAAAAAAATCTACACAAATCTGTGAACATGGTATAAATCAATTTGAAAAATATAAATTTATACAAATTTATTTGATCTTTCATTTACTTCAACAAACATACATTTACATTGCATTCACATACACTGATAAATACTGAAGCAAAAAGTCATTTACACTTTTCAAATGAAAACAGGTAAATGAATAATGAATGCATGTAAAATTATTTACCCCTATTAAGTGCATGCTATTAAAATTAGCATTTGTGCACATATTGTTTCTATCACAAACTTCGTTACCTCTCGTTTGAATTTTATCGATATGTGATTTCCTCATCCCAAAATAAACATGACGTAATCTGGATATTGTACATATATATACTTTCTTGCTCAATTATCTGCGATGATTTTGACAATTTTTGTTCACCAAATGTAAAGGATACGGAATAAAAACATTATCATGAATACCATGAAAATAATTTTAAAAGGTAAAATTAACAATGAACGAAATGTCTGATGGCCATAGAGTATACTCAAAATATGAGTCAAAATCAAAAAGTCACACAAAATACAATTCAATTTCAATTTCGAGTGGGTATCAATTTTAGAGAATTTTAAAGAACGGTTAAAATCATTAGACAAAATACTTTTAAATATTTCAGGATTGGAATGATTAATACAATGTCTTTACAAAATTAATGAATTCACAAGCATTCGTCCACAATCAATACTATGTACAACTGTACATAAAATAGCTCTTATGTCATTCATACTGATGAATATTCTAGTATGGAGATTAAAAAAAATCCCAATTTTTAGAGAAAAAGTACTGCTAAAAGGGAATTTGAACACGGAATCAAATTTGTGTTTATAATAATGTTTTAGTTTTCCTTTATAAAGAGGTTAACGATGCTCAGAAAAGCATTAAATAAACAAACACTGTTCAAAGTAAAGTAACGTTTCAATTCAAATCTAAAGGAATAAACTCAGAAGGTGAATTTTCCTTGCAGTATATCAGATTACAGTTATAGGAATATACATGTCTGCCGGTGAAAACTTCCTTACCATGAATAAAAGTATTGAAAGGGTTAGTCCTTGGTTTAATACACTGGTAACAGTATATCTGATTGAGTGCTTGTATTTTGTTTACAATGGATTACATTACAAACAAGAGACTTCAGAACCATTCTTTTTGTTTTTACCCATTATATTTTCTTTTTATAATTACAGAATCTCCAATTTCCTTTTAAGATGAAAAATAAATAAGAGTCTCTTTACCTAATTTCTTTCAGTATTTAAGATTTTTCTCCTATATAGACATCTTGCTTAATCACGTGTTTATTCCCCCTATCTATGTACTATGGCATATACCAATAAATGTATCATCGACAATAGAACAATGCTTGTTTTGTGACGATCTCCACTATTATTACCAGATTTGTTCGCACCTGTGACTGAGGTTTTTGAGATCTTCTCCTTACACATTTCTGTATACTTCTGAAACTCGTCCTTCATAGACCAGTGCTCTATAATGTAACCTTGGATATCGCCTTGCATACACGGATGCCTAGCCATCGCCTCCACTGCATCTGCGCATGCTCTGGAACACGTGGTCTTATTATTACACTCGGATTTTAGTTGCTTTGTAATTTCTATTTCTGTTTTGTCCTGTCCATACCTGAAAGCTTTCCATGAACAGTTATCATAAACCCCTTTGAGACGTGGGAGATATCGCTTACAGAGGAGGACATTCTTAAATGATGTACAGAATTGTGTGTATGATTTCTGCTGCGGGTAATAGGTCAGAAAACCGAAACACATCTCGTCCGTCACACTGTCTCCATAAAAAGTAGTCCTGTTAACTCCTACACTGGAGTAGGTGCATGAGGTGCGGATCTCATCTCCAGGCCTAACTTCAACTGGTGGATCAAACCTTTTTGCATAAAAAAGGTACATCGTAAAAAAATCATTCAGAAATTTGCTTTACGATAGACATGATAGAGTTCTCTTTGAACAATGTTAGAAAGAACTTCTCTTGAGTGAGATTGTTTGTAATATTTAATTATATCAAACCATATTACAAGTTCAAATACATAAATGGATTTAAATTAATTTAATTAACACACCTATTTAGTAACCTACCTGTAAAATGTTGGCGAGTTATAGTCGTATTCCTTGTCATTGGTTAATTCTTTGATCATTTTTCCCTCTCTGTGAATACTGACTTTCTGTTTTATTCCTGTGTATAAGTTTAATTCAGTTTCAGTAGAGAAAAGGAATCGTAAATAGTGACTACCAATTTCAGATTGATATTACGTCATAATGAAAGTAGATTCGGAATGAGATAATTGAATTGGTATTAAAAAGCCACTTTAAAACAAGAGGCACTCTTGTCTGCTTTGTCTTTTTGAAACATTCTTTGCGGCGGAAAATTCTTTTGAAAAAAAGGGGCATAAAAATCAAATTAGCTGAAAAACTTCAGAAGCAAAAAACAAAAAAAAAAAAACCCACGGAATATATAAGGGGTGTTAAGAAAGTTCGTTCCGGGATGAAATATTTTCAAAAATTTCAAAAGTAGTGCTTTACTAAAGAGATGAATTTTCAAGTCTGACAAAATCACAAGAGTGTGCTTTAGATTTATAGCAATTCATTTCTAGCAGAAAATTATAGAATTTTTCTTCCATATGAAAAAATATATGATATCTTTAAAGCACCCGAATGATAGAAATGCTGGTCATTTTGAGTGAAAATAAAGGATAATTTACTTTTTTTTTCTTCATAGCTTATTTGTATCAGACAAGCTGATGAGCGTAGGTATAAGAACGAAATATCACTTTTCAAAAGAATAGGTTTGTCATTTTGAAATATTTCACAGATTTTACAATTTTTGAATAGTATTTGAAAGGATGTTTTGACCTGTATGCCTACCATATCTCAAAAATGTGCGTCATCCCTGATTTTTCTGAACAAACATCATCTGTTTTAATACCTGCCCTCCCTTTATTGATTCAACAAAAGATAGTTAAAACTTTATCAGTAGCAAGAATGGACTCTGTAAACATGAAATATCACAAATTGTAAATATCTTCTCATCGTATTTCTTTTTGAAAATTAAATAAAAATGTGGAACGAACTTTCTTAACACCCTTTACTTTAATGTTAAATACATTTACACTTAAACAATTTGTATATTCAGTAAATCTTTTGTATATGTTTTTATCATTAATTCAATAAAATTAAGCACTGCTCTCATTATATGTAAGATCAGGTTTGATCGAGTTTTTTCATTTTAATCCTTTTATTCTATGTATGTAAATCTCTTTTGCTCCTTTGAGGCCGAAATTAGACTACAATCATCATCTTAACCTTGTGGCCGAGGGAGCTCATACAAATTTGACATAAGGTAGGATTCTTCTCTGGTTTCTGACTAGATGGAATATTCAAAGTACATTTGTTGATATGTCATATATTCAGATGTAAGAGGTTTAAAAGACCATATTTTTCTTTCCTCATCAGAATTATACAACTTTAAATAGAAAAGGTAAACTGCGTTTGAAAAGTAGCAGGGACTATATTTTTGGCGAAATGGTGGTGTATGAAAATATCTTTTTTTCTGCCTCTCAAAATTATTAAAGAACATTGAATTTAGTTATAATTTTTACGCAATCAAAGACTAGAAGAAATTTTCAAATGTAAGTTGAATAAATAATAAGGGTCTAAAGTTTTAAAATAGGCTATATCAAATAAATAAGATTTTTTACACATACTAGAACTATGTTGGCTTTTAAATGCTTCAAATCTAAGTACAGATTTAAGCCAAAAATCCGTAAAAAGTGTTATTTCTCTCTTAGTAAACGATCAAAACTTTTAGTTTTTGTATCATTTTGTACCTTTATGTGACACCTTTACTATATGTGAAAATTGGAAAAAGTTAAATATAGGAAGCATATAAAAATTACTAAATAGGATATTCGGATTAGCAAATATCTATTTTATTTAAATTATCCATGTCAATTTGGTAATATCATCTTATAGGCCACATATGGTAGTATCTTTTTATGCAAAAAGAAAAACATTCAATATTTTGAACTAAAAGTAGGAATCGCATGATTGGAAACAGTATTTTTTTTATTCTTAATGTCTAGGGAAAAGGTAATGACCTTGACCTGACCTTGTCTCTAATATTAAACGGTCAAATTTAATCTCACTGTTACCATCACTTAGTGATATTGTCCTCTTGATTCTGTGAAAATTTCATTAATTTTTAAATACAAGAAATGTGAGAAGAATCCCACCTTAAGTTTTAGCTTTGGTATTTGTTACCAAAAAAAGATCCCTTTTGTTTCCCCTTGACCTTACCGGGAATCTTTTCTACATAAAGACACTATCAAGACGTTTATTTACCCAGTAGGTGCATGTGGTTGACGGCTCTGGTGATGAAGATCGGCGTCTGGAACATATTTTCTGTACAGAAGGCCGGGCAGGTAGAATTGAACTCTACACTGGGGGTGTTAGGTGGAATAGCCAGGTACTGCTGACCCACCGCCATAATGACGGAGTCAAACTGACGTTTGTTACTGGTGTAGAAAATCTGTAGTCCTGAACCGTCCACATGACCTGTTCTCTGACCAGGGTTATTCCAGTGGACCTATAGAAAATAATCTCACATTATTCCGGTATACACATGTGCCTGAATAAGTCATTAAATTAAGTGAAATTTAAATTAAACAAGTTGCTAAATTCACAGCTTCAGAGCATATGTCATAAATCAACATATATATGTAAGAAGAAAAAACGTGTAATTATGATAGTAGCAGATAATTCTTATATTGCCAAAATTGCATAATATATAACCAAAATCTTTGCCAGTCGCGAATTACTTCCATACAGCTCTTGATACTGAGTATGATTCTAAAAGCATAAAAATATCCTCAGTAAATATCAAATAACATATTGCCTACAAAGCCATGTAATTATACTCTATTATGACTTTTTTCTTAATACAATGCAGTTACCTGTACAGCGATATATTTGTAGCCATTTTTGCCCACTCGGAAACCCTCGTTCTTGTGCAGACATTCGCCCTTTGACCCCATGGTCCAGGTAAGAAGAATGTCTAGACATTGCTTGTCTGGAGTCATTTTACATTCAAAGGGACCCTCCCTCATCTCCACTGAAATGAAGGATTATTTCAATACACCTGTGAAATATGAAATCCCACTGATCGTTTAAAAGACAATGGCTACTTTTTAAGTAGATCAAACTCTAACGACAAAGCATACGTTAATATTTAAAAGACGACCAATGAAAGGTCTTGCCTTAAAGAAAGAAGTATGAAAGCCCTAGCACAATTAAAAGTTTACAAAAGTTATGGTCAGGGTTAAAATTTGATTTTTTTTTTGCAAAAGTGGGTCAAAACCTGAGGTTTAGCCGAGAGGTCAAACATATTATAATTGTGAAATATTAATGTCCGAATAATCAAAAGTTATGGGCAAGCTTTCAGTTTTTTACAAACAGACAGACAAAGATGAACAAAAACTATAAAAAGGTCACTCATAAATGGCACCTGATCCCACCTCTGATGTTTGGGAGGTCTGATTTGCTTTGCTCCTATTTTGTATTGCTTTATGGACTTTTAAGCTTGAATACTTATTATTGTCTCTATATTTTTCGTAGCCCTTAATCTTTTATAACGGGGTCATAATAAGTATAAAATATCTGGACTTTCTTTCAATGAATATGGTTAACCAACGTGTATAAAAGATTACAAATAAGTACCGTCTCCTGAGCAACCGAAGGCAACCACGTGATGAGCGACGTCACTGTTGTCAATGAGAGGCTTGCTTCCGATCACGTGGTAGTCCCCCTCTGACGGCCATTGTAGGATCTGACACATCCAGGTGCTACTCTTTGACGGGACACTCGTTCTCTTCAGCTTCAGATCCACAGTCTTCACATCTTAATCAGAGAGATAAGACATTAAATAAAATCACCTGCTTCTGGGAGATTCGCCAGCGACGCCTTATCTCGGATGCATCGCTCAATTACTTTTACTATCGTCATAACGATGTTTCATTTTCAGTGAAATCACAACAGTGATAAAAGTTTTATCAAATGTTAAAGAAAAGATGTTTACATAATGAGTCAAGGATGTTTATATCATCAGCAAACATTCACTTAAAGAATGCATAATCCTAACAATCAACAGGTAAATGATTGATGGATATCAGAGTAAAAGATAATTATCATATATATATCATACTAATCAGAAGTGATTTATTTTTTGAACATTCAGACTTTCTCTTTCTAACCACCGTTTAGTTTAAATAGTGTATCAGTAATTACAGTATTGTTAAAAACTTCGTTGAGTATTGAATAGAAGTAAGTTTCAATGGTTAAGATATCGTTAAAAGAAAGAGCCGATATTTTATGGGAGAGTTCTTTTGTCCGCCATAACAAATATTCATTAAGTCGTACCTGGTTGGGAGAATTCCGGACAGAAGGGATCTGTTTCTGGTTCTTCCTCTGGACAAGTCAACCACGAGTTCTTCTTCCTGCAATGTTCGCTATTCAGCGGCTCACAGATGCCTGTAAAATAAATATACTGTCAAACCTTTTTTATGACAAAAGGATATAATGTACTTTAACATAGCTTACATGCTGTGCGTGTACATAAATTGGCGTATTCAAAATCACTAAGAGTTGTTTGCGTATTCATAAATTAGCGCCATACACTTCCTAAAAGTACGAGGGGTGATCAAAAAGTTCGCGAACTATCTTTATATCTACAAAACCACAATTCAGGTTATAAAAAATTTGGTACACACATGGCCATACACAAGTTCTATAAATAGCATATGCTGAATAAAGTTTCGCTCCTTGATTGTGACGTCCCAATGTGAAAATGACGTCACAATGTAGGTCACTTGTGGCGAAAAATGGTTGCCTCAGTCGTACTCGTTCAACAAACGACTGCAAAATTTATGTTATATCTTAGAAATCCCTTTGCAATAGCGTATAATATTTTGTACAGTTTTTTTAAAGACAAATGACCTTCTTTAAATTCAATGATTGGATTGATCGTTTTAGTGAAGGAAGGCAGATGGTTAAAAATGATACTTGTTATGTTGCCCAGTGGAAGCAAGTTTGAAAAGAGATATGCTTTTAATTAAGCAATTTTCTATCAGAGACCTCCAATTAACACTTTGAAAATTAGTTGAATATTTCAACAATAACATAATCATTAAATACCTAAGATATCGTTTACTTTAGATTTTAAACATATTAGATATGATAAAAAGGAGGCATCCATTCTCTATCCACCGTGTATAAACGTCTCTCCCGAGACAGAAGATTTGGGTTTTGATGGTCACCAATCTTATTTTTGGAATGGATATTCTTATCCACTCATTTTGTTGCCAAGATTTGACCATTTCTGGCAAATAAACCGTTCTTGTTTTAAAAATTAACTTACATGGAGAAAAATCTTTCAGCTTTGTGACAGAACGACGATACGGAGGGGGTTACGTGACCACCTACATCACGTGATTCGCGCATGAGCAGAACAGTGGCAGATGAGCATTAAAATCGGAGAGGACTAATTTAAAATAAAATCAACACTGAAACCAAATATTGCTTTTTTTATGGAAGTTATTCAATTAGTTCGCGAACATTTTGATCACCCCTCGTATATTGTAATATTATATGATTTCTTAACAGTATTCATTAATTAGCGCATTCATGTCTGCGCAAAAGCCGCTAAAATATGAAATCCGTTTCTTAAGTACAAATACAGTATACCCCTCTACAACTGAGAGTATTATCTATTTCTGAAGGTAATAATATACAGTGTGTACTATTGTTTAGTTTAGTACAAATGGTTAAAGTAAATCCAACATTCAATTGAATCTGGTCTCAACCTCATTGCAGTTTTCTTGATTTCATAAAAATACACACATACTAAATTATCAAAGACGACATTGTGGTGTATTTATTTATACTTCATGTTCATTTAAGTTTCAGCTCTGACAGAAGTTTGAATCAGAAGATAAGCAGAAGTGGTGAGGCCGTAACTACTAGATAAGAACAACCTTCAGATCGCTTTCTATTTTAGTTTCTCTTCTTTTTTTATACTAGAGAATGACAAGTTTTAATCTTCGAAGTACAATCACAGTGTACATGTTTAGATCCTTTGATAAAACAAACTAGCATAAACATTTTTTGTAAATATCCTGATGCATGATTTTATCAATAAACGATTTACAGATTGAAAAGACTGTCTAACATTATTAATTTTGAAAATAATCCCCGTTTTATAATGTACAAATTAGAAATACTGATTCTAATTCTCCTACTACATGTATCTAATCCTACTGTTTTGGGACATAACCTACAAAATCAAAGTTATTTTCCGTGAAATAGTTAATACTCAACTGTGATATTAAATTCCCAGAATTTAAGTCGTGCAACATGAAGAAATGATTCATCTGAATAAATAACACAAATATTATTAAAAAGATTATTAAATTCTATTGTCTTTTCATTCACCAAATGTATAATTTGTACCAACATTACGTAAAACAAAATTAATAATGTTAAGTTAAGAAGAATTTCATAAAAATAACAAATATCTATAGTAAAACAAAACATCTACAAATGAAAATAACTATTTGTCAAAACAGAGTGCAAAATTTCATTACTTCTTTTACTTTGTAAAACCAACTTCTAATTCGAATTACACTCATAATGGATTCCAAAGCGTCAGGTACAAACACAAACATATAAATACTCAATACTAAGTACATTCATTCCCTGTGATATAAAGGCTTTCTAGTTTTCAACAAAAAGGGTACATGTTAATAAATATAATATGTCATTAACTTTGCGCAAAATTTTGCTAAAAACAATCTGATTCTTTACAAAATTAAGTTAATTCAAAAGATGCCTTAATACTGTTAAAGATAAAGAAAAGTTATGTAACATTTGGAAAAAATGTTTTTGAACATTCTGCTGAAAAACTGAAGGATACTTGTAATATCCCATTATAGACTACTCTTTTTGATATCTTTTGAAGAAGAATTTATTCACAAATGTTTTCATAGAATGAATAAGTGACAATTTTAGATACACTTTACATGTATATCGACGAAGTTTAATCAATCAACAAAAGGTATACTTTTCACTCCTTCGGTGATATGATTAATTCTACTAACTGAAAAAAATAGACATCAGAGGGCCTGAATCATCCGTTTCCTATTTGTAGGTTTTAATAGAAAATAAACATCAATGGTAAGTTAACAAAGTTAACAACTAAACTTGATGATTGTATCTTCATCTTTATTAAATCATTTAGCAAGGTATCATCATATCATTTTATTTACACTGTAAATTGTTGACAGATTTTCCGTTCTTTATCGAACATGACAAAGGGGCAGACGTGTGATCGATCGGTAGGGAATGCTCACTGGTCCATCGCACCTGATCTAACCTCTGTTTTTAGAGGTCTGTATTTCCATCGCTATAAATTGCCTCGTTTAACTGGACTTTTGAGCTTGAATATCTTTTTGCCGATGACAAAATTCTTGTCCAGGATAACCCACTGTCTTAGACTGGTTATGTGTTCCAATAATGAGAGAGGACTACTATACGTCTGTTAAAAGTCGAGAATGATTCCAAACAAGAAGGTTATTGAGCCCTTCTGGGAAAATAAAAGCATGACTATTCGTCAAGAAACCACCTTGCTTATCTTTCAAATGTGCAGCTACATCTGATTTTGAAGTGCCTGAATGTACAGCTACATCTGATTTTGAAGTGCCTGAATGAAATTCCAGGAGTTGCAGTGTTCTTGAGAGCAAATACATGCTCTACGAGATTTCAAAACTTCCAATCAAGTTTTTAAGAGTAAAACAATCTTATATTTCAGATAGAGGTAAAATACATCATTAATTAATTTTTTTAATTTTATATTGAAAAGTTTCTTGTAAGAGTTTTATTAAGATTGAAAAAATTAACGATGCAAGGCAAAAACTCGGATTTGTTGCAGTTTTAGTTAACAAGAATTAATGTTACGTTTAATGTTTCACCTTAAATGTTTTTATGATGATTTTGATATATATTTTCTCTGATACTCAATTCCAAGACTTAAGATTTCTGATAACTTCATGGCTGTCCTTAGAGAAATTTATCTTTATATCAAACTTCACTGACGCAGTAAAATGGTTAAATATAAACTGAATCTTGCTGAATTACATCATGTGAATATTTTTTTTCAATGAGCTCCAAAACACTTTTAAATATTTTTGTCTATAATAAAAATATAATATTTTGGGAGCAATATACGTTTCTAAAACGGAGAGAACATGATGGGTGTCGATTAATCTGAGGTTCGTCATTGGTTATAATGAGTAAAATTTCTAAAAGATTCTGGTAAAGAATACCAATGTTTTGCTGATTGATATCTAAAAGACTTCAATCCAAATCATGTTGATCCTGTTTCGGGTAAAAAAAAAGCTGCCTTGTGTATCTAACAGAATAAGAAGGCCCGCTGAAATTATTTGAAAGTTAGGCAACCCAAGATGAAAAAGCTTCACAATTGTTTTCCCATCAAACTGTTGTTCTATGCAAATTAAGAAATATATTTAACGAGTACTTAGTATTAAATATTTCCTAGATGAATAAAATTTTGACATAAATCTAGACTGTTACATGATCCTGGGACATGGTTGGGTATATATAGAAATTGTACATATCTTTCGCTGATACATTATTTATTCTGTCCAATTTTCATGTTATATATATTATTTAACATTTAATTGATACTTAATCTATCAAAGAGAGCTCCTTTCGATTGTAAGTACATGTGCAATTAATTACAAGCAACCATTTCGTAATCGCAGCAAATAAAGGAGCGCGAAACATTCAGTGAACAGTTTGGCCTTCATAAATTGATTAAAAGTTAAAGCATTAAATGCGTGAATAAATTCCAATGTGGGTTTTTCTAACGCTAACAATACTCACTTGTATTCGGCCGAAACTTTATATTTATAACTTCATCTCATTTTAGTTTGGGTGAGATCAAAACAGATGATTAATTCTGGAGAGGAATTTAATCAAATCAATGTTGTACTTTCTCTATCTTTTAGTCAGTGAAATTCCGTAAAAATTCAAGTAAACTACAGAGAATTTGTCTCATTACTGATAATGTGTAAGATAATATAAGTAAGCGTAATTTTTTAGACCCTTGAGTTTTCGGAAGGGAAGTCCATATCTGATGTGCTAACAATGAAAAATGTATTCTTGCAAAGATGTTACATGTATATTATAGCTTATCAATTGAACTTTGGTCAACATGTAAGCTATGACAATTTTTTTTTGTCCTAAAGCTTCACCATATGCTTTGAACATTTAAACACAGAAGTGAACAAGATCCTCTTCTCTCCAGCTGTTTTATCTATATCCCCCCGGGTCTTCTTATTTTAAGATATAAGTTGATAATTGTCAGCAATCTCTATTGCTATTTACCACCTGGTAAAGAAAACACCATGGAAACCCTTTCTTTTTATCTTAACGAGTGTTTTGTTTGGCGCAAAGTCATGGTATCTTTTTAAGAGAGATTCGGTTGATTTCCTAGTTTTCTTTAATTAAGATATTTTTCTAATACGTAACCAATACTGCAATATACAAATAGCAGAGTTTTAAAGAGACTTCATATGAATAAATGAAGAATTTATTTTTCTTTACTATCTTGTTAATTTTAAAGGTTTTTTATACAAAAATTCATAAAATTTAGGCGCGTAGCTGCCTAAAGCATGTACGCAAGTGCGACATTACACATCATTTTCAAAAAAAAAGAAGTATTAAAAGAAAAAAATTATTTAATTTAATGCCTTTTCCTTCAAACTTATGAGTTTAAGGAGATGCAAAAAATGGCATGTTGCGTGTCTGCATTAAATTGCCAAAGTTTACGTCTAATTTTCCTATTCAAATTTTGCATACCAGACATCTTGGTATGAAACGATTCATGTACGACTTACTGATGGATGTAGAGCGTCATCATCCATGAATGAGTATCAGGATGCCTCGACCTTGTTCTCTTGGAATATAAATGTGGATATGACATACTGGGGTTTTCCTTTATAAATTCTTTATCAAGCTTCACTGACACAGACAAATAGCATGAGTGATTGAGAATATGAACTTATTCATTCTCTGTTGAACAATTCTTTTTCTCATTAGTACATGTAGTAATCTCATATTCAATTTATTACTGAATTCTTAAGAATGCAACTTGAAATAAGTCAAAAATGTGATAAAGGAATATGCACGGAAAATTTCTCTATCATCTACATGTATACATAATATAGTTTAAAACCTTGTGAATTTAGAATTTTTTATTTCATTTAGTAAAAATCAAATCCTGCTTTTCATGAACGCACGAGATACACGTTTATTGCCGAGTTTATATTTTTTGAGGGTCGTGTTTGCTCCAATTTTGAGTTGTTTAATGGAATTTTGAGCTGAAATACTATTCGTTATCTACATATTTTTCATTAATAAGTAGTAGTATATCTACCCTAGCTGAAAGTTTCCTACAATGGCATGTGGAATCTTCTGACTGACACAGACAGGAAACCTGCTGGTCTTTTGGCGGCCAATGTTTACTCTTATTTCTTGATTTGTGTTTGAATGAACTTCCGGGTACTGTTCGCGCACTGCGCCATATATCTCATTGCTACATCCATATGCATATGGTAAAATGACGGTAGAAAAATTGAAGTCAAGGCCGTAACTACCATTGAGGCAAGTGAGGCAAATGCCTCACTAAATTTTTAGAGTTTTTTGAAAAGTGAAAAAGTTTTACATTGTACTTATGTGTGTCTTCGTGCTAAATTTATATTTTCAACTTTTACATTGTTTTATTTCCATTTCTGTACATCATTCATCTCACCAGATGCCTCAATTTCATTTAGAGCGCATGTAAAAGAACGAGGGCGCTTTTGATTGGCATTCGGCAGAAATCTGGGCGTAAATGAAAAGTGAAAATTTTGTCGTCATGTCACATAAAATTTTAACATTTTTTTATTTATCGGGTTCCTGTGCAACAGGAAAGGAAAATATTTTCCCGAAATTGAGCTTTGATTTGCTAAAAAATAACTTGAAAATTGGCCAGATCAGACATTTGGTACAAAACGGTACATTTTTAAATACGTTTTTATAAAATTTTCTATCTCTGGGTCTTCTCTCCATGATTTTGAAACGTTATTTGTGTGTATTTTAATTCAAAAAAACGAATACACATTTTTGAAAAATGGAGAGAAGACCCAGAGACTATGAAAAATGAACTTTTCCCCAAAAAATCCAAATGTGTGAATGTGTTGCATCTTTGTCCTTTTTAAATCCTCTGTATAGGTATAGCGGTGATAGCTCAGTAAGTAGGGCTACCTATTCAGTGCGCTCGCAGCGAGAATTTTTTGGTTCGAGCCTGACATGGGGCATTAATTTTTTTTTTCATGCAAACAGCCATTTATTTTGTCAGTTTCGTTTTTTTTTTTTTCTGATGTGTTAAAATTTTAAATTAGATAAATTTTGGTTCAGTTTGGTTCTCGAGCGAAATCTATTCCAATCTTTTATTCTATAGTGTACATGTTCACGTATCATGCATCTATGCATTAAATATTTTAGGTGTTTATTTTTTGTGAAACATTACTATGTTATAGTACCCCCTAGGAAAAACGGACCTAAATGTTACAATCTCACAAGGACTTTCAAACTAAATGAAAAAACCTATGGACGTGTTTGTAAAATCTGACCAGCTATGTTCAGCCAACCAAATCATGGACATTTAAACCATAAATGTTTCGTACAAATGATTCCTGCAGATCACACGCTAAATGCGCCCATCTTCTTTAATTCAAAATGTTTATTATGTAAATCGTTCGATTATTTAACACTCCCTTCTAAGAATTTCACACATATATAGAAACACTTGCCGAATTTGGAATTTTTTATTTCAGTTTTAAATCTGTACTGGGCTTTCATGGATCACTGAAGATGATTGAACGTTGAGGGGTCTTTTTTGTGCCATCACTTACTGTGACATAGGTTCGGATTTTACGGTCTCATCTTTGAAGTTGTCTCTACATCCCGCAGTGGGATTCGAACCCGTGATGTAAGGATCAATTCCTTAGTCTGCGACTTTAGAGCATACGCTCTAACCACTGCGCCATGCGGGCGACAATTCAAAACGTAAAAACTTTTTAAGATTAAATATTTTATTTTCTAATGCCCCGGTTTCAGGACCTCCCTCCCCTTGGAAACCTCAATCACTGGTCATGAGGTACTACCCTTGCCCCGTCTGAGACTAGGAATGCCCAGCACCTTTGCCTCACTAAAAAATTAAGCCTAGTTACGGCCTTGGAAGTAATAATTTTCCTCACCTCAATTGTTAAAAGTTGCCATTAATGTCTTTTTCAAGTAAAGCATCCAAATATAAAACAGATGTGTCAAACTCTGTGGTGTCGTTTACTTCGAGTTCAATGGGATTTTTTTGAAATCAAAATAGGAACGAAAATGAACAGTGTTAATTAATAAAAAGTTGCAGATAACGTTCACCTAAAGCACTGCGGTGTTTACATGTAGTTATCGCATTTTTTGGCTGTAAACGATCAATTTCTGTCAGGACAATGTTCGATATTCAGTCTTATTCAAATGTACATGTACAGGTGTCTATACTGTGCGTTTCCTTTTACAACAACTTTGTGCTGGCTGTTGTATTGGATCATATAGAACTATGAGTTTACCTTATGTTCGCAATTAAACTGTATCATATAGAACTATGAGTTTACTTTGTGTTGGCAATTAAACTGTATCACATATAACTTTGAGTTTTTGAACTACGCACCTGTGTTTTAAAGATACAATAAATACGATCGTGACAAGGAACATACGGCGGGTGTGACAGGCCGGCAGGGGATGCTTACTATTCCATGGCACCTGATCCCATCTCTGATGTTTTAAAGGTCCGTGTTTGCTCTGCTCCTATTTTGTATTGGTTATGGACTTTTGAGGTTGAAAGTTATTCGCTACCTCCATATATTTCATACACTGGGCAGATGATGCCAACGGAAGACACCAGGCCTGGGGGCCATAAAACTTAGACGATCTCACTTTTCATCTCAGTTTCTCTTTCCGCTATTAATTCCTTTGGAAAAAGTGAGACTGAGCTCAAAAGTGAGATCGTCTACGTTTTATGGCCCCCAGGTCACTGGTGTGTGAGACACCAGGTGTGTAAACATATTTGGGAATTTGATCATCAACAGGCATCCATTTTCCTGTGAACCTAACATGCTAGCTGTGGGAAATTAACAGTAACTTCTAGTATGATCCTCTATACTGTTAACACTTATTATTCGCGAGAACTTTATTTTCGCATAATTGTGCACGAAAATGTTCTCTCGAAAATATTAGCTCCTGTATATGAGTATTCATTAGATTATGTGGAATAGTAACCACGATTCGTGAAAATTTTGTCTCGCTAAAAGAGAAATTGTGTCTGTCTCGCGAAAATTTAGTGATCTACAGTATTTTAACAATACCTGGGTGTATTATATTAGGTGTCATCTCGGCGTCTGACCTACCGGTAGTTTAACCAAAGCTGGGTACGTCATGTTAGGCGTCTGGATTACATGTATTTATAACCATACCTGGGTGTGTTATATTGTATGTACGGCTCGGCGTCTGGCCTTTGCTCCACTCACAGTCGGGATCTCCCAGCTCGGCCCCGTTAGTGATTCCATCCCCATCAGAATCCGAGTCACAGACAATCCCGGTCCATGCCTGAAAAAAAAAAATAAAACAAAAATAAGGTCAATTGTGAAGGTAAAGATCTAGGATTCAGAAATTATAGCGTGTTAATTCCGTAATACCTTGTCACAGGTAATGCACAGGTCAAATATGAAAGCATTATCTCTTTTTAATCAAATGTTATAAAGACTGTAGCTCTACGGGTTTGTACTTATAATAAGGGAAGAGAAAAGTAGCAATTGGGACATAAAACTTTACAAAAGCAATATCTCGAATGATGGTCATTGATTAAGTCTATTTTGAGGTTCATCAAAATCAAAAAAAAAAAAATACTGATCATTATGTATCTCAATATAGTCTACTTGCATGCCAAATTATCTCATAATCAGACTAAAACTGTATAAAATGGAGAGACATTTTGAAAGTATTTCACAGCAATTTCTAATTTTAGTGACCATGGCAACACCGTTTAACGAAATTAAAAACTGATAAACAGGATTATGTGTCTTGGTGAAGTCTACTTGTGTGCCAAGTTACATTGAAATCAAACCAAAACTGTAGGTGGAGTAGGATTTAAAAAGTATTTCACAGAAATTTCTGTTTTTAGTAACCATGTACGGCAACTCTGGTCATCGAAATCAAAATCCAATACACAATTTTTTTGTATTTTAGTGTAGTCTATTTGTGTGCCAACATTGAAATCAAATCAAAACTGTAGGAGGAGAAGCATTTTGAAAAGTTATTCACGGACAGATAGACAGACGGACAGACAACGGACGCATTACTATCGCATAATCTCTTCTGGTCTCTGTCCAATAGAGCTAAAAACAACATTTTTTGAAAAGTAGATCACATTTCAAGGTCAACGTCACAAGATGAAAAAAACATATTGTATTTAGAAAGTTCTTATCACAAGCAATACATAGATTTATTATGAATGTACTATGTCTTCTCATTCAAAATTCAGAATTAAGGTTAAAAAATTTGAAAAGCAGGTCAAACTTCAAGGTCAAGATCATGGGGTCAAAATCATTAAGTTTATGATAAGGTCTTGTCATAGACATTACATTGTTAAATATGAAAGCCCTACATGGATCTTTACTCATTCAAAAGTCATGACCAAGACCATGAAAAGTACGTCAAACTTTAAGGTCACGGGGTCAAAAATCAGGGTATATTTAGCAAAGTCATGTCACAGATAAAATACAGCTTTATATGAAGGCCCTATCTCTTCCCATTCAAAAGGATTGGCAAATTTAAAGCATTATTTACTTATTTTAAAAGTATGTCAAAGTTCGAGGTCACACAGTCAAAAATCTCGAATATATTGTTGCTCAGAACTCGAAGTTTCTCCTTCATTGCTGTTAATATCCTAGTGAGAAGTAAAGTAAGATGCTTGGCTGAAGGAGGACAGTATTCAATATCAAAGTCCATAAAACAATACAAAATAGGAGCAGAGCAAACATGGACCTCCAAAACATCAGAGGTGGAATCAGGTGCCATGGAGGAATGAGCATCCCCTGCCGACCGGTCACAACCGCCGTGTGCTCATTGTGCTCATTGTGGAAATAACGGAAAAATCAGTTGTTAATTCAGTGTAAAAATATTGACTAACATTTAGTATGAAAAATGTCAGTCAGCATTTGACTCAATGATAAATTGTATTTCTTGACAAGATCATTGTATAGACCAAAGAACTTATGAAATGATGACTTTAAACGAAAACCGCCCCATCAACCCGTTTGTCAATAATTTACCTCGTTTTAGAAATTGTTCATACGTAGAGCATGCTCTTGCGTATCGAATCTACTGAGATATATACACTCCATTTGCAGGTAATGAAGGTATATTGAAGTAAGGGAAAATGACGATAGAAAAGTTAAAGTCATCACGTTTATCATATAGCTTGGTTGTTAGATTACCATTAACGACTTTTTCAGGTAAAATAGCCACGTATGAAACAGGTGTGTCAGACTCTTTGGTATCTTTCATTTCAAGTTCACCGGGATATATCTTATCGACATAAGAATGGAAATGACCATTGTTAATTGACAATACGTCGCCGATATATCTAAATGTCGAGTTGTAGGCCACAGTAAGTGATTTCTTCTTTTCACACACAAGATTTTGCACACATTTTGCTTGATATAAAAATAAAAATAGGCCTGCTAATTACGTAGCGCAACTGGTACCCATGGGAATTCCAATAGACTGGTGGAATACCTGGTCTCCAAAACAACATAAATATTGTCAATCAGAAACTCAAGCATCTCTTTGATGTCAACCTCAGATTACTTGTTTGTGCAATCAGAATGTGTTTTAACAAAATAATTTTGCAAATGACCAATAACCAGGTAATTAAATGTGCAAATTTCGTTTTTATTGAAAAAGCAGCTGTCAATGATATCAAAAAGTCAGGACTTTAATTTACCGTGGGGAATGGTTGTGTATAAAGTTGAAAAGCAGTAGGATTTAACGCTTTTGATTTTGGTAAAATCTTGTGATTTCATATTGTCCAAAAGTTCTTTGGAATATTGAGTATCCAATTCTGATTCACACCACTTCTTGAATATATATTGTTGCACAGTACTCTTGAAGCTTTTCCTTCACTACTGTCAATATCTTAGTGAGGAGTAACGAAAGTGACTTGGTTGAACATTTGCTGGAACCCGCAATGTATCTTTGTTTGTAAGGATTTTTATGAAGTTTCGGAATCCAATATATATAGGACCGTTCATTTACTGGGACTATTCATCTTTGTTAGTAAGGATTCTTATAACGTTTTGGAATCCAATAAAGATAAAGTATGGTGATTTAATTTCATTTTTTGGTTGTTTGGGATACGTCAACCAAATGCATTACGCATCAACCCAAGTTTTTCTTTACAAAAGTCCATTCCATTTTAACAGAGAGCAACAAATGCTTATAAGAGAATGATATATGAATTTTTAATAGGTTTTTAGGCCTGTGTCTTGTGCGTTAGTCAGTAACCTGCTTCGGCTTAATAAATAGTTCCTAGAATATAAAAGGTGAACGTGACGAACATGTAGTGGTCACTAAATAGGTGGATATAATGAACAGCTAGAATTCAAGCTCAAAAGTACATTAAACAAGACAGAGCAAACAAGGACCTCCAAAAATCAGAGGTGGGATCAGGTGCCGTGGAATAGTGAGCATCTTCTGCCAACCGTCCATAAATCAAACCAGAAGTCCCTGTCGAGACTGTGGCTCTACTGGTTTATACTTAAAAAAAAGGGAAGAGAAAAGTAGCAGTTTGGACTTTAAATTTTAAAACAGCAATAAATAGAGAAATGATTCTTGCCACTTATCAAAATAAAGACCCATGCACAAAATTATGTATCTTAGTATAGTCTACTTGTGTGCCAAGTTATATTGAAATCGGACCAAAACTGTAGGAGGAGTAGCATTTTGAAAGAATTGCATCCATTGTTGTCATCACACCAAGAAATGTCTATTTTTAGTAACCATGGCAACACCATTCATCGAAAGCAAAACCCGATGCAGAGAGTTATGTATTTTAGAGTATTCTACTTGTGTGCCAAGTTATATTGAAATCGGACCAAAACTGTAGGAGGATTAGCATTTTGAAAGAATTTCACAGGAATTTCTATTTTTAGTACATGTAACCACGGCAACACCGTTCATCGAAATCAAAAACTGTTGCACAGAATAATGCATCTTAGTGTAGTCTACTTATGTGCCAAGTCATATTGAAATCGGACCAAAACTTTAGGAGGAGTAGCATTTTGAAAGAATTTCACAGAAATTTCTATTTTTAGTAGCCATGGCAACACCGTTCATCGAAAGCAAAAACCCATGCACAGAATTATGTATCTTAGTGTAGTCTACTTGTGTGCCAAGTTATATTGAAATCGGACCAAAACTGTAGGAGGAATAGCATTTTGAAAGAATATCACAGAAATGTCTATTTTTAGTAACCATTATTCAACACCGTTCATCGAATCAAAGTCCGATGCACAGAATTATGTATCTTAGTGTAGTCTACTTGTGTGCCAAGTTATATTGAAATCGGACCAAAACTGCAGGAGAAGTAGCATTTTGAAAAATTTTTACAGACATCTAGACAGACAGACGGACAAACAGACGGACGGACGACGGACGCATTACTATTGCATAAGCTGTTCTGGTCTCTGACCAGTAGAGCTAACAAAAACGAGTTGTGGTTGGGGCAGAAATCAAATGCTCAGGAAAAGTAGGCATCCCCTTGTCGGCCGATAATTTCCCGATCATGACAATGAGCACAAGGCGGTTGTGATCGGTCAGCAGGGGATGCTCACTCCTCCATGGCACCTGATCCCACCTTTGATGTTTTGGAGGTCTGAGTTTGTTCTGCTCCTATTTTGTATTGTTTTCTGGACTTTGATATTGAATACTGCTGGCTGTCTCCACATACTTCTCATAAGTTAGTCAATATATGACCCAACATAAGGTGATTTTCTCAAACAGGTTTAGTACCAACACCGCAGATTTACGAAAATTTGACAAAAAGAGTTTGTCATATCTTCTAATCCGGGAAAATTAATCTTTAACAATCTTTCAAAAGTATGTCTTTTGGAATCTTTTTTTTCTGAAATGTAGTCTAACGAAGAAGACAGTGAATTTAAAAATGTGTTGCATTTCTTTTAAACGTTATTTTTTTCTCGTGAGAACTCAGATCTTAGATCAAGGATTTCTTCTTAATAATTTGCCGTATGTAAACAATCTTTTTACGATCACTCTTGCGGCCCTTACGGAATGTCCTGATACCAGTCATATTGCATATATAAACATGACCCCGGACAACCTTTATATAAATCTGCACTTGATGAGGCGCGTGATATTATCTGAAGTAACTGCAATCTGACGAAGATGTGAGCATAGAGTAACACAGTGTTACGTCAGTTGGATAATCCGACTTAATCACATAATACTGTATGATATGAGATTCAACACAAACGTAGAAAAAATTAACGACAATATCAAATTCCCAAGCACCATTTAACGTTGGGATTTCTTTCAGAGTGTTTGATTGTTTTCTAACTATTGCTTGCTTGAGTTTTAGATGCCGGGAAAGAGCTTCTTAACCTTCGGTCGAAAGTTTTTTTTTCTGTATTTCCCTGTATCATGGGGAGGGGCAATAAAATAGCACAGATGGAGAAACCTGCAGTATGTTCTCAATTTTTAGCATATTTTACCAACACTTGTTCTTTGTTTTCATACTGGCAAGCTGTTGTTAAGACATTTTTATTCGTATAAATTTTATCGTCTTTATCTTATTCAGAATGCAATATAATGTTTTGCCTTTAGTAACTGAGGCAATAAAATTCTGGGAGATCTTTCACCACATGGGCTGTGAAACAATTGATTGTATTCCTATGTGAAGGAAATGCAATAAAATGCTCAAATATTATTCTAAATTCCTTCAGAATCAGATGTCAGTGAATGGTATTCGAATTCCACTCCTTGTTTTCAACAAACCAAATTTTGAAATCAAAACACTTAATACTTAAAATTAATATTTGACTCATGCATATGATTAGGAAAAAATATTGAAAAAAAAGAAATAATGAACAAATATTGAGATTCAATAAGTAGAAATGCCACATGTACATAGGTCACTTTTAAGATAAGATTTAAAGTTTAAATTAATTGCATCCCGAAGCTGAGCATGGGGAAGAGTGCACATGTCATTACTTAAAATGGAGGTCATATATCAACACATGAAAGCTTGGATATAATATTCTTAATAAAGACTACTTTCGTGTATTCCTTCGACTCAAACTGATTCCATCAAATTATCAGACCATCGACCAAAAATGTTTTATCAGTTTTCTGTCCTTTTTGAAACATCCTACTGGTCTATACTTTAAGATTACAATTTTAAGTAATATAACATAACACTTGATCCCTGCACCTTTGATGTTTTGAAGGTCCATGTTTGCTCTGTACCTATTTAGTATTGTTTTATGGACTTTTGAGCTTGAATACTGTACGTTATCTCTTTCAAGAAAACATCTACTAATATAGAAATGTGATATAATGCCTTTATGATAAATAATCCATAGAACAAGAACAATACAAAATAGGAGCAGAGCAAACACGGACCACCAAAACAACAGAAGTGGGATCAGGATCCATGGAGGAGTGAGCATCCCCTGCCCAACGATCACACCTGCCGTGTGCTCCTTGTCAAGATCGGGAAATAACGGAAAATTAAATTCAGTAAAAATATGGACTAACAAATAATCATTAGTATGAAAAACGTCAGTCAGCATTTGACTCAATGATACATTGTATTTGCTGACAAGGTCATTGTATCGACCCTAGAACTTACAAAATGACAACTTTAAAGGAGACTGCTGAAATTCTTGTTTCATCAACTTGTTTGTCGATAATTTAACTCGTTGTAGAAATTGTTCATTCATAGAGAATGCTCTTGCGTATCAAATCAACTGAAATATATATGATCCGTATGCAGGTGATGAAGGTATATTGCTGCATAAGTAAAGGAAGTTGACGATTGAAAAGTTAAAGTCATCAAACTTTATCATAGAGCTTGGTTGTAAAATTACCATTACCATGAAAGATTTCTCCAAGAATCATAAATTTGATATTTGAATGAGACCTTTAAAAATGTCTTACAATAAAAGAAACATTTATTTCTGATTTATTGTCTTATTTTGATTTCATTTGATAATAAAGCAATGACTAATAATATTTACCTTTAAATTAACTCATTCTCTTAATTAAGATTTTAAACACAAATTCTAAAACAATTCTCACTTTTCCATTCTCAGCAAACATTTTGCCGAATGGGTTCCTCTGCCCTCCGCCCTCGGTCTTAATGTGCCCCACTCCTCGCCATAACTTGTCTTTACTACAGGGGTCCGGAACTTTGTCACCGTTTGGAATTTCTATCACGTACTCAGAGAAACCATGGACTCGGGCTATGACTAGTGTTAACGCGGTAACTAGGGTGAGGGCGGCAAAGCTGAAAAAACACGTGACACTTAAAACGTGATATATCTATCTATAAAGAGCTTGTTGAACTTTTATCACAAATTATCATATTAATACAAAAGGAAAAATTGAAGAAAAAAAAATCGTTAAATGCAGAAAATAATATTTCTTTTTACAGAAAAACATTCCTAATCCAGACCATCTGGTTCTAAAGAAATTGGCCTGGTTAAATAACATTGCGAATAAGACAACATTTTAAACAAGTGAATTTACTGTCAAAGACTAAAAAAACTTTTATATTTCCTAATAGACAAGATTTCGGATTATAAAACATCAGGATTAGACAGGCTTCATTGTATAGAATCATGTATTTTGCTCTGGATTGAGGAGAGGTGTCCTGTCAACTTCGTCTTTAGATTTATTATGAATACATACCCTTGTTTATTTTTTCAAAATTCACCAGGAAAAGAACACATGCAAAAACACACAGTAGCACATTGAAAGACAATGAAAAAGTGAATTAAAGGCAATGGATTCTTAGATTAATTCTTACGACTAAAAAATAATTTGTACAACTCTCTTTAAAAAGTATTTTGTTACATATGTCCTGGCCTATATAAATGATTGTAAAACATGTGTGAGGAGTTCCCAAATAATACATAAATAACAAAATGTCGGAAACCGAGGAAGAACCCAGGCATACACCATACGTTCCGGGGCCAATAATCGAATATTACCGGTCATATTTCACAGGCGATAAAAATGTCGGAAGATGTAAATTTCTGCTTAATCAAGATTATTCTTGGAAATAGTCATCTGGCTATATTAAACTTTGTACATAAATTAATTTAATAAGTTATTTCCTTGGAATTCAAACCAATGTGACCAGTAAAATGGATCATTCAATTATATTCTTAAATCGTGATTATATCTACTTTTTACGCCTTTAGACTTGGTAATGAAACATATGGAGATAACGAACAAAATTCAAGATAAAAAAAATCATAAAACAACACAAAATAGAAGCAGAGCAAACACGGACCTCCAAAACTTCAGAGGTGGGATCAGGTGCCATGTAGGAGTGAGCATTCCCTGTCGAACGGTCACATCCGCCGTGTGTTCCTTGTCATGATCGGGAAATAACTGAGAAATCCGTCGTCGATTCATTTTGTACATAATGGACTATAAATTAGTGTGAAAAATGTCAGTCAGCATTTGACTCAATGATAAAAATTGTATTTGCTGTCAAGGTCAGTGTATCGACCATAGAACTTACGAAATGATGACTTTTAACGAAACTGCTGAAATTCTTGTTTCATCAACTTGTTTGTCAATAATTTAACTCGTTGTACAAATTATTCATACCTGCTCATATGCTCTTGCGTATCTAATTAACTGAGATATGTAAACTCCGTATGCAGGTGATGAGGGTATATTGCTTTGTAAGTAAGAGAAGTTGACGAGAGAAAAGTTCAAGTCATTACATTTATCATAGAGCTTAGTTGTTAGATTACTATTGACGTCTTTTTCAAGTAAAATATCTAAATAGAAACAGATGTGTCAGACTCTGTGGCATCTTTTATCCTTTTATCTCAAGCTCACCAGGATATATCGTATCGTCATAAGAATGGAAATTTCCATTGTTAATTGACAGTACATCGTCGATATATCTAAATGTCGAGTTGAAGGCCACAGCAAGTGTTTTAATTTTTTCACGCAAAATATTTTGCACAAATTCTGCTTCATATGAATACAAAAATAGGTCTACTAATAACAGGGCACAATTTGTACTCGTGGGAATTTTAATACTTTGTTGGACGAACTGGTCTCCAAAAACAACATAGATATTGTTAATCTGAAACTCAATCATATTTTTAATGGCAATTTCAGAGTACTTGTGTGTACATTAAGAATGCTTTTTAACAAAATAATTTAGCAAATGATCAATGACAAGGTAAGTTTATACAAAAAGAAGCAGCTGTAAAAAAAAAATGGATTTGATGCGTAATCTGTCTCGGGGAATGGTTGTGTATAAAGTTGAAAAATCGTAAGTTTTTAAACTGTTGATTTTGGTTACATCACGTAATTTTAAATTGTCTAAACGCTCCTTGGAATTAAGTATCCACATCTGATTTACACCACTTTTTGGATATTTTGTTGCACAGTACTCTTGAAGTTCCTCCTTCACTACTGTCAATATCTTAGTGAAGAGTAAAGGAAAAGGCTTGGTTGAACATTTACTGGAACCCGCAATGTATCTTTGTTTGTAAGGATTCTTATGAGGTTACAAATATCACTCTATAAATTGACATTAGGCAACATATTTTATTTTTCCTTATTTTTTTTTTAATTCAAAATTACAATTTATCATTTGTATTTTTTTATGCAGTTAGGTATGTGAGAGGAGTGTAAGATGTGAAATTAAGTATTAACCAATGACAAGATACAGAAGGTTTTACCGTTAAAGGTGTTTAACTCTTAACAGTTTTCATTTTAATTTTACATTTGCCTTTTACTGAAAATTTGCACCATAATTTAGAAATCCATATTGATCTATCTTAAATAGTAAAACAAACAAATATATCATTGTTTTAATCAAATTCACATCTCTCTCTGTGTGTCTCTCTCTGTCCCTCTTTCTCTCTCTCTCTTTCTCTCTCCATAGGCAATAGGCATTGAAATTTGGTCTTACCTTGTTTTGTTGGTTTAGCCCCCTCCACTTTAAATTAGCCCCCCCCCCCCACCCACCCAACACTTTCAATTTGCTTCCGACGACTATGCCATCTCTCTCTCTCTCTCTCAATTGTTCGCTATTTTACATATTATAGGAAAGATAAATTGATGAGAAGGAAAACTCTTTTTAAAATGTTCTAGGCGATGTTGCAGTTAACCTCGTTGAATTTTTTTTAAATAATGTCAGATCCTATGACAATGGAATGAGTAGAGTAATGATGGAAATCGGGCATGGCGCCAGGTGGTTTCAGAAGTACTTGGACGAACAAGAAAATTAACAGCCCAGTAAATGTATGACAGTTTATATGGCTTGTATCAGATGCCTGGAGGAAAATGCACCTAAATCATACAATATTCCGGAAAAAAATGATGGGCAAATTTAAAGATTAACCACACACATATTGCAATGACTGTGCTTTTAAAAACATTTTGACGTCATGCACTTTAAAATGAAGATGAACTTTGGAGACCCGGGGTTTGGTTAATTACGTAGAGATATCACGCACGTGCAAAATGATGCAGCTCTCCTTCTGTCAGTGTTTTAAGTGCACATTTTTTATATTCATTTATTGATTCCATTTTGTTCACGAATCTTTCAATCGAGGCACTTGTTATTAAAACATCAAGAAGTTGGAAAAAGTTTTAAATATTGAATTTAAAGTCGACAACTTTTAAAGTTGTCATGGAGCATAACAAAGAAAACACAACAAAGAAAAGTGTTTTTGGAAGAATTAAAGACAGGGAGCACACGGCGGGTGTGACTGGTCGGCAGGGGATGCTCACTTCTCCATGACACCTGATCCCACCTCTGATGTTTTTGGAGAACCGTGTTTGCTCTGCTCCTGATTCACTCTAAAAAAGTTTTACTTGTTGTTTTTAAAATAAGATATTGGATTAAGAAAAACTAGTAATTATTAGTAATCCATTTAGTCAGAATAGCAAGTAAATGACTATCATAGTTAGTAATTGTAAACAGGATTAGTAATAAGGATGAAGTCATTTACTTATAAAATGATTTACTAAGTATCAATAGAATTACTTAAATTATAGGAATTGTATTACTTTAAGTTAGTATATGAACTACTCATTTTTGTTAAATTATTATTACTTAATTTAGAGAACACATGCTTTCTATTTACTATTTTTTTTTTTGAATTATTACTAAGTAAATGTAATTCTGATTTTATTACTCAAAAAAATACTAAGTAAATGAAATACTTATCACATTTACTATAATCGACATTATTTACTAGAAACACTGCAAGGTACCGAACCTCTGACATGTGAGTACTACTCACAGATTTCTTTATCAGAGTTCCCTGTTTGGGCCCTCTGAATAGTTTAATAGAAGAAATCTACTTGTGATGGAAATAATTATACTTTCTATTTCTTTTGCCAATTTCTTTGTAATTGTTTTATTATATATAACAATAAAACATATGATTCCAACTTCGAAAGCTTTAAAAATTGAATAAATTGTATCTTTTTAAGGACCATTTTAAAAATGGTTAAACATTTCAAGTACTTAATATCGCATTTTTATTAGTATGACCTTTTTTTCACATGAAGGTATATTTAGAAGAAAGAGAACTCCTCCTCACAGACAATTAGTGATTAGACTACCATATTTAAGTAATTACTGATCTGAATTCTCCTTGATTTAGTAAATAAATTTTTGTTTTAAGTAAATCAATTTAATACAATTCAAACAAGATGTGTTTGTGAATCTTTGTTTGTAAGGACCTATGCCCCTGTATGGCAACATAGCAAAGGTTAAACTTTTCTTATATGCAAATTTAAATTATTGGGATTTCTTGATATCTCCAAGGTCAAAATGTCAAGGTTTTTGGTATCTAATGAAAGGTCTTGCCACAAAAAATACATATGTGAAATATGGAAACATTTGCCTCAACCCTTCAGAAGTTATGGTCAAGGTTACCAATTTTGAAATGTAGGTCAAACTCCAAGGTCAAGGACAAAGGGACAGATTTGGTGGTACCCAAAAAAAGGTCTTGTCACAAGGATGAAATGTGTAAAGGATGATGCACTAACCCTAATCCTTTTAAAGTTAGTCAAGGTTTGCTTTTTAAAGTGGGTCAAACTCCAAGGTCAAGGTCAAAGGGTCAAAGTTCTTGGTATCCTATGAATGGTCTTCTCAAAATGATTACATATATGTAAGTATGAAAGCACTATTCCTTACCGTTCAAAAGTTATGGCCAAGGTTAAAGTTTTTTTTCCACAAAGATGGAAATCTCCAGGGTAAAGGTCAAAATTTCTTAGTTGTTGGTATTCAATGAAAGTTCTTTCAAGAAAAAATATATATGTGAAGTATAAATGTCCTGGTATTTACTGTTCAAAAGATTTGGATAAAGAATAAGTTTGGATTTTTTGTGTATAAGTGAGTCAAACTTCAAGGTCAAGGTCAAATTTGGTGATACTCAGAGAAAGGTCTTGTCACAAGGAATACACGTGTGAAAGATAAAAGTCATAGCTCCACTAAATCAAAAGTTATGGGCAAGGTTAAAGTTTCTGCAGATAAACAGAGAGACAGCTAGACAGACAGGCGGACACGACAAAAACTATATACCCCCCGAAACTTCGTTTACGGGGGCATTAAAATATTAATTATATAGTAAATAGTGGTAAAATGTAAGTAAAGACCAAGTAATGTTATTACTTATATACACAAATTTAAGTAAATATAAATTACTAAGTAAAACTTTTTAGTGTGTAAGTAAAACAATTCTTTAAAATACAAAAATCAAGTAAAACATTTGAATCCAGTAATTGACATATATTTCAGTAATTGATTTTAAATTTTAAGTAAATGCTTAGTAATTATCTATTACTTATCTTTGTTATTTCAAGTAAAAAATGACTACTAAGTAAAACTTTTTTAAGAGTGTTTGTGTTGTCTGATTGTACTATAAACACTATTCGTTATCGCCATAAGTTTGTTTTTACATTCCTAGAGACGGGAAAGGGAATTTTTTATCTTAAGATCTTGGATTCAAGAAAATGTAAAAGAGTACGTTTTCGAAACGCCTTTGTTAATCCTAAATCTCGTACAATCCTCGTACAATTTACCATTGTGTGTCTCGCCACGGTATGACAGACGGACGGTACACAATACTCGCTGTGTAAACACACACATGGAGTTTGTAAACTTAGAAAAATCATATCAAAGATAAGGATTCTCTAACTGTGTTACATCACCAATAGTTCTCGTTTAACTTTATCGCTGAATTATGTCTAAAAATAATAACTCAAGAATCGGAGTCTGTCAGTTAAAATGAAAGTGTAAGATAAAGACGGCAACTGTGTAACATCTCCACAAAATAAAACAGTGAAGCCCAAGAGAAACTAAAGCATTGCTCCGATTCAGAGCTTGTAGTCGACTCTCCTCCGAGAATTTTATCATTAATTAATGCTTATTAACGCTAATGGCATTCAATCTTAAGTATGTAATTGTTATTAAAGTGAGTACACTCTCCCCACAAGTATGTGCACTTCAAGTGACTACTTTAATATGTCAGTTATTTATGTACTGTGAATGAACATCATTATAACAATGCGCGTGGGAGAAAAATAATGTGAAATAAACTGGAATTCTTGAATTTTTTTTTTCGTTTTTTACCCCCACCAACCCCCTTCTCTTGACCAATTTTTCTTTACTAAATGTCTATCTCTGCCCAGACTTTTTCACTTTCTTTTGACCTTCAAAATCACAAAACATCCGTGATTTTAACATAAACCTGACATCTGCCTAAACTCAATACCCAGAAAATAAAATTGAGCATAAAAACACGTTCAAAAAAATCTGTTTTTCCTGACATTTTTGAATCGTCTCATTTACAATCGTTGCATAACGTTGGGCTGCATTTAGAGAATTTAGTTCGATTTATCAATGTACGATACGCTAAGAATGCACATTCGTATAGAAGATCCCGTAAACCACTGCACTAGAGTTCGTTCAGACTGCTTGCAGAGTAGGTATTCTGAAAAGTGTGTATTTTAATTTTAAGCGGATTATTTTTCCGTTTTAAGAAATATAAATTTCCGTGACCTTGACAAGGTGCAGTGATAATAGAGATTAGAAGTTACAGCTGTCAGCTTCAGATGTTAACGGAGGTGTATACATATATATATAATCAATTTGTTTTATGGTTTTCTTCATATAAATTAAACTGACGAAATACAGAAACCATGTATATGCTCTGATTTTTTTCTCACGTTTATAGATGTCAGAGTGGGATAAAAACGAATTATATCCAATTTTACTATCATTCACCTACCCCCCCCCCCCCCTTTAAACCTTCCCCCTCTAACGTTAACCCCCCCCCCCCCCCCCCCCCGGCCGTTATTAATCTGATATGGCGAGCCTCTCTCAGTATTCTTATCCAGAACTCTGATTGCCAAGTGATAATTTTTTTTTCAAAACATTTTGTATAAAACATTGAATTATTTTGTTTCAAAGAAATATAAAGGAAGAAAACATTTCACAAATAAAAACAAATTAAGTATATAGTTATTATAAAATAAAACACAAGTACTGAGTACTCACTTAAATATTTCCATTTCTGAGGCTCGGGTGAGAGGTATATTCCACACTCCCCTGTCAACAGACACCTCAGTATCACAGTATCAAACACCGGCACTGGGCTCTCATCAGTAACCGTCAAACCGCGCAGCAGAGAGCGTGAGAGACACCGCGCTGTAAGCCTGCAGGGGGCGGGACCGAGCAGTGAGGGGGCGGGATTACTTACTATCTCCATCAGAAGTGTTGTGCTTGGTTAATAGTTTTATCTATACTATAAAGAGCCACAGTACTAAATCTATGCATTTAAATATTCTATTCATATTTGAAATAATGGACTGTCGCACCATGTATCTTTTGGAGTAAAAATTAAGACTTCCATTAAATTATATATACAAATAATTTTTTTCTGGAAAGTCCCGTAATTCCGTCTCATCCCAGCATCATAATACTCAACCCAAGGGCCATCATATTCACAATTTGGAAGAGGTACCCTTGATGATCATAACTTTGCACATAGTTTGTTTGTCTGTTCAGTACCCAGGAGTAAATATTTTCAAAGCGATAAAATACTTTCACCGTCTGGTCTACAGAGCCCCATCCAAACTCTACAATACCTTACTCCGGGAGGAGGTTCGTGAGTTCGAATCTCGGCAGTGACTGGCCTAAGTTGATAAAAAAAATAAGTAGCAACATTGTCTGTTCCTTTGCCATGCACATGACAGCTTGAAATGAAAGTTTCCGTCCTTCCATGAGACTTTAATAAAATAAAAGCCCTGTGTCACATTAGACCATGGCATGAAAAGATCCTTTACCGCTCAGTTGCCGAAAAATGTCGAGTAAAAAAATAAGATTTTTTAAAAAATTTGATGCTTTTCAGCTTCCCCTCAGGTCCCTGGGAGGTGGAAAAACATGAAATTCTACACTTTTGTTTCCATTTACTCATAAAATATGTTGATTTTTTTTTAGAATTGGTGACTGGGTTTCTGAGGAGATCTTGTACAAATTTTACATGTAAGACATGATGGACAACATACAAAACAGAGGTTATACTTCATGTAGGAAGTCACGAATATGAGATGAAATGGGTTGGTGGGTGGGAGCTATATGACTGAGAAAAAGAGTTACTTCTCAAGTCAGCAGCATTTAGGGGCATTTGTCCAACACAGACCTTTTGGTAAAGTCATACACTGTTTAAAATCATTGATACACTGAGAAAAGTTTTAAGAACTGGATCACACTTCATGAGGTTTACACTGATTTTACATAAGCTAAGTAGCGAGGTGTTAAGAAATACTACAGTTACTGTAATACATATTATTTACATGTAAACATTCACAAAATCTACTTATCACACAAAAATCATTTACTATAGGTAAACAACTCATCCTACTAAAATTTATTATTTTTTTTATTTCATATCTCATAATTTAATTCTTCCAGAGAATGAACATTGTGAGAATCCCTCATATGTATCATTATTTTGTTGCATATTCCAATAATTAGTGTTCAATGATACCAATATAATGAAAACATCAACATGATCAATAGCACAGTTTTTAAAAAAACACACGTCTTTGTTCATCCAATCACAGCTTTGCATAATCATCACAATCAAAACTCTCCTCCAGTCAGAACTGAGTACTATCATATCATTCTTAGAGCTCCATCCAATCGGATTGTTTCTCCATTAAGATAAGGATTTTCTACAATTGTCTGACACATCTGTGCGAATTCATCTGGATTTCCGAGTCTTTTAGGAAACACAACTGTTGATGTCAGGGCATCTATGGCCTTCTGAGGTAAGGCTGCTAATAATGGGGTATCAAACACACCTAATGGAGAATAAAACAAGAGGCCCATTAGTCACATAGCTCACCCGATCATATTGGATATCAAAAGAAAAAGCAGAAATCAGTTCACTATTGAAAAGATCAAATATAGAAGTTCTGATCACAGATAATCCTTTCCCCAACTAAGGGAAGGGGGCATGATTTAGTCACACTTGATTCCACTAACTAAAAATGCTTCCATATTTCTTTGACTAATCTTGGCTTTAGATTTTTTTTTTATGTGTTTGATTTTCTATTGTTGCCCTGCCTTATCCTGGGGGAACATGATTTGAACAAACTTGAATGTACATTACTTGAGGATGCTTCTGAATTAATATAACAAATCATGGATTTGCTGTTCTTGAAAAGAATATTTTTAAAGATATGTTCTTTATATTCTAATGTAAAACTTTGAATCACCCATTGAGGGCCCACCCTATCTCCAGGGGGTCATGATTTGAACAAACTTTAATCTACACTTCCTAAGAATGCTTCCAAATAAAATATTACCAATCCTGGCTTTGTTGTTTTTGGGAAGATTTTTAATGATTTGTATGTATTCCTAGATAAAAATCTGAACGCCAATTGTGGTTAATCTACACTTCCTAAGAATGCTTCCAAATAAAATATTACCAATCCTGGCTTTGTTGTTTTTGGGAAGATTTTTAATGATTTGTATGTATTCCTAGATAAAAATCTGAACGCCAATTGTGGCCCCACCCTACAATAAGGGTAAAGATTTGAATAAATTTGAAGCTACACATGACAGAAAGCTTTCTTATAAGTTTTAACTTTTCTGATACAGTGCTTCCTGAAAAGAAGATTAATTTTTTTATGATCCCAATCTATTTTCACTTTTTCTTGATTATCTCCCCTTGGAGGAGGGCGTGGTCCTTCATTTGAACAAACTTGAATCCCCTTTACCCAAGATACTCTATGTCAAGTTTGATTAAAATTGGCCCGGTGGTTCTGGGGAAGATGAAATGTGAATAGTTTACCACAACACAGACAACAAACACATTGCTTTCTGAGCCTTTGACTCAGGTGAGTTAAATATCACAAAGTTCATGGGGTGTCAAAGACATCTAATGGAGAACAATAAATTTAACACAGAATTAATGGAGTGACTACTAATTAAAATCGTCTAAATTATTTTTTTATCAAAGAATGTTACAGCATCATGTTTGTTGGCAAAAACATACAGGATAAAATGAGAGTTGAATATCATTTAAATAAAATTGTTCTTGTCTCTCTGCCCCATCCCAGTAGGACCTATCTCTGGTAGAAAATGCAGTAATGTGTTTTATTCAGTGTATATATACAGTGTAACAAATTTTAAATCTAAAAGAATTAGTAATACAAATCAGCCTTTCTATCATATTTTGAATATGGTAACAAGCAACTGAATGTTCTTTAATCCTTTACATATAATTAAAAATTACAATGAAATATGTTAAAACCAAACCACAGTACAACAGTGTACATACAGAATTCTGATAATTTGCTTTTAAGGAAGTCCTAGGAATGTGAGTTTTAAATTCCTTATAACAGTCTTTAGATCAAAGTGCCTTTTGTGATAAAAGGGATGGGGAAAAGACATAACTTCCTTAAAATCAAGATTTCCTTATATGCCGGGCCCTGGCAATTGAGTTCTAAGTAGTCAACATGTGATTGTACAATGAAAGTAAAAAGGAATCAAACAGAAAACACAAGTAAGATTTCTGTTTTGTGTTAAGACAAGTGAAGATATGTAAATTCCAAATATCTCTAATTTTCTTCTTTTCTGTATGTGAATTCTTGTATTATATATTGTACCACAGAACTTAACAGAGTTTAATGGATTTAGCAGAGCATTCTCATTGGCTACCCATTTAAAAACTGACCAGTTAATGGCTACCCAGTTATAAACTGACCACTCGGTTCACGTTCAGGTTCATTCAATGCACTCACACAAACAACCTGTGGTACATGATGAGGTATTGTATGTCATTAAGACGTCATAGTTCAATGTGAAAGTGAAAGAAAAGTTAGATATATGATAAAATAACATAAATGAGAGACATATATATACATGTACAAAATATAGCAACAGACACACATTGAAAACAGATTTGCTATTTGACATGTTGTATTTAATGTACATGTATACCTTTCATCCATCGGAATATTTGACCATCTATTAATCACCTTAAAAGTTCTAAAGTTAAGGTTATCCAGTATTTTTTAAGTTTACTTAGTAAAATGCTCAAAACATGTCCAAAATCATTCTTACATTTTTTGTAAATTTGACCTGATGATGAGTTATATTTTTTTTATCACTGTGCTATTATGGGATAAATTGATTCCTTGATCACAACAGGAAGGATCCAATCCTTGCCACTGGAATTAATAACTGTTCAGAAATCCACGGACAAGTTGAAATAAAAGTGATTGCAAGTAATTAATTTAGTTTACAGTATGTACATAAATTATATGACATGTACTTTGCAGTTTAATGTGAAATGTCCCTCTGCTCAAAAATTCACCAATTTTTAAAAAAAAAATTCCAAACATTGATTTTCATCAACAACAATAACATTTAGATTCAAATGGAAAATAGTTTGAAGTATTAAGCATTGCTTATTTTTTCATAATGAATATTTTGTCTAATCATAAGGTTAAGAAAATTTTATATGGTAAATAGAAAGATCAATAATTTTTTATCTCACTTTAAAATTAAAAATATGAGGTATATATGAAAAAAAATTGCAATCATACCTATCCAATTTCTAATTAGAAAACATTAAGAAGCATTGCATTTTAAAGCAGAATATCAAATTGTTTTCTGTGCTTTTAAAATAATATGCATCCATCAAGAAGAGTTATCTTTCTTTTATTGCCCTTGAAAATATTTTTAGCGAAACAAAACATTAATGATTATAATCAATTCTGCATCTGAAATTTCTGTAACAATTAAAAGACATAAACGTTAATATACACAGTTTAAGTGAACTGAGTATAAATGTTTTAGGTAAACTATTTTTAACAATTAAGGAAAATACGGGAAATAGAAACTAGAAATCAACATCTGTACGATAAAAGAGGTTCGAGTGAGTTGACTATTAAATGGTCCTCATTAATTAACTCTTTCTATCTGACAAGACAATTCATTAAATTTCATGAAAAAATGTCCTCAGAAAGTTATCTCTCTTATCAGAGGGATATTACACCTTAACTGTCCAGACCTAGTTACACAGTATAACTTGGGTAAGGCTTAAAAAAAATATATGTTTGTTTCCTGTAACATTCCCAAAAAATTAAGGGTCGGTAGGTCGGGAATTCTTTTTTTTTTTTGCCTTGTGAATGGTCAAACATCCCCGGACTGAATATACCAGGTGTCATATTTACAGTGGACACCCAACATGGCATCCAAAATGGCTGCCAAGCGGCAGAAAACGAACTTCAGAAAGTTGTAGGGGGAAATTGTTGTCATAATAATGATTACTCTTTATAACTAAGGTAAATGTAAATTAGGTTGACATATTTTATGTCTCAAGTTAAGCTACAATCTAATTTTCTTTTTTTAATAAATGGAATCAGCTGATTGATCAAACGAAGTTTTGCCATTTGACAGAAAAAAAGAATCTACCCGGGGGTAATTTAAATGGGTCGGTCGGGTTACAGGAAACAAACATATTTTTTTTTTAGGCCTAACTATTAAATTCATTCCAATATAATAACTTACAATACACTGTATATCATAGAATTAAGCTGATAAATCTGTAAATAAACTGCAAAACCATCATTTAATTCAGCTATAAACAGTTTTACGGCTTATAATTGCCCTCTTTCACTTGTTTGTGTTCAAATTATTTTTTATTTATGTGGTGTTTTTTTTTAACCATGATACAAAGGATGTAAAGTCCTACTGATCCATTGTAACTTCGGTGATGTATACAACTGTCAGTTGTTCCCAGGAAGATCCATATTGTAATGAAATGGAATGGAATTGTTTTCTATTATGTTTACATCTATGAAATTTAGTTACAAAGACTGTGTACCATTTAAAAACACTTGACAAAATAATCGTTCACCTTCAGTAAGTTACAAACAGAAGTAAGCAGGACAAAAGTCACCTACATCTAGTGACCTTGACATAAGAGAAAGAACACATATATAGTAAGACAACATCTTTATCTCAGGTGAGATTTCATTTGGCTTTTCCCGATGTTTGGACCAATGTCTTCATTGAGCCAAATTTCAGCCAAGATTAGACTATGTCTATCAAATTCTAAGTTTAGAGGCTTCCTGTGAATAACACAGAAAACTTACCTGGACAAATTGTACAGACTCGGATTCCGTACTCTCCAAGATCGCGAGCTAGAGGTAGCGTCATCCCAGCAATGGCCGCCTTACTGGCGGAGTAAGCCACCTGTCCCATCTGTCCGTCGAACGCGGCGACGCTGGACGTATTAACGATCACGCCTCTCGCCTGGTCCTCGTTTGGTTCATTCTGTGCCATGAGAACTACAGCCTGTCGGATCACGTTAAACGTTCCCAAGGTGTTCACCTACAATAATGTCACAGATTATAAAGCCAGAGAACTACACCCTGTTATATGTTACAAAAGAACATCTTTCTCCTTTCACTTAGCAGTTGATGGTTAACTTCCAAAAACATTGCTGCCACCATTAGCATGATAAGTATGAATGTCGTCATCTAAAGGAATTAGTAATAAACTACAGTTGAATTTGGTATCTCGAACTCTGATATCTCGAATACCATGGATATGTCATAATAAAGTGGAAATCCCAACCAAATATTCTTAAAGTATTTTACCCTCGATATCCCGCATCTTCAGACATCTAAAAGTTTGATCTTGACCCCATCAGATTGGAGATAACAAAGTTTGACTGCATTTTATAAAAATAAATTTCATACCTACCTTGAGCACTCTCTCAAACTCCTCCAGTGGATGAGGTTTGTTTTTGTGGATGTTGTATGTTTTTCTGGCGACCCCAATCCCTGCACAGTTGACAAGGACATCTAGTTTTTTGTAATCCGTCATTGTGGATCTTAACACTTCCTTCACTTCTCCTTCTGAGGTTATCTAAAATTAAAGAATCCGTGAAGATAAATTTTTGTGAACAAGTAAATTACAATTTTTTTTTATTTCCTCAAATTTCTTTCGAATCAATATACATGTATTATAAAATATTTTGTTACATCAGTCCCTAAATTAATTAAAATGCTACAGTGAATACTGCTAACACATAATTTATGGTTTAATTTCTGCATTTAGTTGTGTTACTGTACTGATATAGACTTTGAAACAAGTCTTCACGCAAATATCTTAAATCTAAAAGGGTTACCCATGGACAATAACAGAAATAATAGCCATACAACATACATGTACGAAATGCAAACAAACATGTACTATATGACATTTAAGAAATAAGGTATCATTTTTTGAGTTTTATTGGGATGTAAAACGGGTTGGTCACATGTCCAAATCTCATAAAGCCCGAAGGGCTTTATGGAAGATTTGATCATGTGCCAACCCGTTTTACATCCCAATAAAACTCAGAAAATGATACCTTATTTCTTATATTTAGTAATTATACCCCCCGCTTGAAAAGCGGGAGGGTATATAGTAATCGTTAATTCCGTCCGTCCGTCCGTCTGTACGTCCGTCCGTCCGTCTGTCTGTCCGTCCGTCCGTCCGTTACGCTTTGGGGTACCCATCTCTTATCCGCAACTCCTCTCATACCACTGAATGAAATTTGATGAAACTTTCACAGAATCTTTATTACATATTGCCATTGTGCACCTCCTATTTTACTTTTTGATCCGACACATATTTTGGGTTTCCCGGCCACAGGAAAACATGGACTTTTTCACCAGTTATAACCATATGGGAGGCGGGGGGTATCATTTAGTGAGCTCATCGCTCACAGTACCTCTAGTTATTCTAGATATGGAATTTTATAGTGAAAACAATTACCGGTGTGACGCAACCTGATTGGCTATGTTAAGATTTTCATTTTAATGTTAAAATATCACTGATAGAAATATATATATGGTGGAATATATCAAGTTTATTATACCCCCCGCTTGAAAAGCGGGAGGGTATATAGTGATCGGGATTTCCGTCCGTCCGTCTGTCCGTCCGTCCGTCTGTACGTCCGTCCGTCCGTCCGTCCGTCCTTCTGTTACGCTTTTTCTCTTATCCACAACTCCTCTTATACTACTGAGTGAAATTTAATGAAACTTTCACAGAATCTTTATTACATATTGCCATTGTGCACCTCCTATTTTACTTTTTTATTCGACACGTATTTTAGGTTTCCCAGAGCAAAACATGGACATTGCCATTTTTTGTTTACCTTTGACGTCACATAATAGAAGCTTCTGGATAACATTTGATAGGACGAGTTATTCCTCTTTACACATTACCGTAAAACAATATAAAGCAACACATCGACATTATGGGAGGCGGGGGGTATCATTTAGTGAGCTCATTGCTCACAGTACCTCTAGTTTACATCTGTGACTATTTATCACAAATAGTAACGTACTTAACTAAAGTTTGAGACCCATAACGTTATTTTTTCAAAACTAAACGGAATGTGTTTATAATGTCGATAACTTATGACGTCACTATCAAACTACGTAGATCGATTATGACTAAACAATCAATCTATGGTCACATGACCAATTTGTTTTACGGAGATGTAAAAACGCCTTGTTCAAATAGTGTAATATAAGGGAAAACATTTGCAAATGTAAATATTGAAAATTATCATGCAATCTGGATCACAGAATAAAATATCCTTGAGAGGAGGATACTTGGGGATCTCATGGATATTTATCCCACATTACAGTATGTGTGGTAGTGACATGTAGTGTTATCACAGTACGCATTCCAGACTTACATCAGCTGGGAGGAAGGTGCAGTTTTCCAGGGATTTAGCGACCTGTTGGCCATCAGAGGAGGGAAGGTCACAGAGAATCACATGGGCTCCCTGTCTGGTGAACCTCTCCACCGTGGCACGACCCAGGCCTGACGCCCCGCCTGTCACAAGACTCACCAGTCCCTAAAACAACAGGAATACAATAGATAATGTATACATAATGTAAACAAAGACAACACGACCCAGGCCTGACGCCCCGCCCGTCACCAGACTCACCAATCCCTAAAACAACAGTAATACATAGATAATGTATAAATAATGTAAACAGAGACAACATGACCAGTCCCTACTATAAACAACAGAAATATACTAAATGTAAACAAAGAGATTTAGATTATCAAACAAACGCTACAACTGCCAAATTTACAATAAAAAGTCCTCATTTTATTTTCTCTATAACGTTCCATTCAACACATGATAAGATTATAATTATAGAATTAAAATTGAATTAAATTAACGTACTGCTTACACGAGACGGCATTCATAAAAAATGTATCCGAGAAATTTCGGGCTAGTTATCTCCGATCTACTTATCCCAAAATGTTGAGTTTTTCGTTGAGTGTTAATGCTTTAATTACAAAGCAATATGCACTTTAATAACGTAAATTCGATTTGACAATAACATATATGGTAAAAACTATAGAAAACTAACCTTCAACGATGTGAACTTTGACATGCCTCCTTTCCGAAATTTGTTAAGTCGTACTAGAGATACCTTTCTTGTGCTACTAGCTCTTTAGTCTTTATGGAAAAAAAGAAAGCGTTCAAAGGAACGCGTTTGTCACCTGCTTTCAACTTCATTAAAGATATATCTGAATTTAAAAGTAGTCAGCTATTTATTTAAATTGCTATTATTAGCAAAAAAGAAGAAAGACAAAAACAGAGAAAAAGAAAAAAAAAAGAAAAGAAAAAGTCCTTCTTCTTCTTCCGGTAAAGTGAAGGGCCGCTGCTGCGGCATATTCTCACTATGTTTAAAAGCGTGTATGTGAGGGGGAGTCCACGCATCTATTTACAATATTAAAAACTGATAAAAACATGTCCTGCATGATTTATGGTGTTTTATATCCCTGAATCCTGGTCTTAAAGGACTCCAGGGACGTAGCCGTGATGGTGTCTTCTGGCAGCTGGTTCCATATCCTGATGGTAGTAGGAAAGAACGATTCCTTGTAGACGTTGGTACGGCAGGATGGGATCCTGTACCGGTATTGGTGTCCCCTGGTGGCTGCTCCTGTTTGGCAGAATTGGGGAGGCAGGTCTATGGCAACAAGGGAATGGACAACACGGTACATCATTATAGCCTTTGCTTTAATTCTGCGTTGTTGTAGACTTTCCCATTCTAGCCTGTCGATCATCGTTGTGACACTACTGGTGGTGTTGTAGTTATTGGTCACGAACCTAGCTGCCCTTCTTTGCACAGCTTCTAGTTTGTCGATGTTTTTCTTTGTCTGAGGGTCCCAGACAGTGGATGCATATTCTACCTGGGGTCTGACCCTTGCAAATAGGCCTAGATCTTGAAAGTGAATGAAAGATTTTTTTTTTAAATAATGAATTGAGAGATGTTAAAGTATTAAAATGTGGGGATTAAAACGGAATAATCAAATGCATGACTGATTATAATTATAAAAACATGCCAAGAAATCTCGTCCGGTTTACGCACTGATGAAGTCAATAAAAGTGTAATTGATGCAAATCACCCATATTCCCCAAACGCTAGCAAGACAATTTACGACAGCAGATTTCGATTTTAGGGGGGGGGGGGGGGGGATCGTAAGTTTTCAGCTTTCTTAGTTAAAGAAAAACTAGAGGTACTGTGAGCAATGAGCTCACTAAATGATACCCCCCGCCTCCCATAATGTCGATGTGTTGCTTTATATTGTTTTACGGTAATTTGTAAAGAGGAATACCTTGTCCTATGAAATGTTTACATATCCAGAAGCTTCGATTATGTGACTTCATAGTAGGTAAAAAAAAAAAGGCAATGTCCATGCTTTTCTCTGGAAATTAAACCTAAAATACGTGTCGAATAAGAAAGTAAAATAGGAGGTGCACAATGGCAATATGTAATAAAGATTCTGTGAAAGTTTCATTAAATTTCACTCAGTAGTATAAGAGGAGTTGTGGATAAGAGAAAAAGCGTAACAGAAGGACGGACGGACGGACGTACAGACGGACGGACGGACAGACGGACGGACGGAAATCCCGATCACTATATACCCTCCCGCTTTTCAAGCGGGGGGTATAATAAACTTGATATATTCCACCATATATATATTTCTATCAGTGATATTTTAACATTAAAATGAAAATCTTAACATAGCCAATCAGGTTGCGTCACACCGGTAATTGTTTTCACTATAAAATTCCATATCTAGAATAACTAGAGGTACTGTGAGCGATGAGCTCACTAAATGATACCCCCCGCCTCCCATATGGTTATAACTGGTGAAAAAGTCCATGTTTTCCTGTGGCCGGGAAACCCAAAATATGTGTCGGATCAAAAAGTAAAATAGGAGGTGCACAATGGCAATATGTAATAAAGATTCTGTGAAAGTTTCATCAAATTTCATTCAGTGGTATGAGAGGAGTTGCGGATAAGAGATGGGTACCCCAAAGCGTAACAGACGGACGGACGGACGGACGGACAGACAGACGGACGGACGGACGTACAGACGGACGGACGGACGGACGGAATTAACGATTACTATATACCCTCCCGCTTTTCAAGCGGGGGGTATAACTAGAATAAAAAGTCGTAAAAAAAAATCTGGTATTTGTTTACTTGAAAAAATATCTAGCAAGAGGTGTTTTAAACATTACCTGTCACACTAGCTGACACACTCTCACACACAAAACGGTACCTACACGGCATTTTCTGACTTTTTCCATCTGAAAACAGGGCTACCCTCAAATCCACGTGTTTTCAATGTGTTTATAAACATTCCGAGTGTACCGCACGAAGTAGCCTCCTACTCCCGGGGAAAAAAAAAGTTCCTGTCAAAAACCTTTATTTGTTCAAAAAGTACATAAAATTTACTAGGCACAGGTAACAAAGTTGTAAAAATGGCTTGGAAGAGAATAGAAAAACGTCTCAAAAGAAAGGAAAATCAATTTTATATGTATGGACCTATATTTGACTAAGTCCATTTTGATTGGTCAATTACCGGTGTGATACCTCTACCCATTTAGTACTCCTCTCCCCTCTTGTTTAACCAGGAAATGATGTCAACTTCCGGGAATCTGGTACCCTTTTTCCAATAATTCGACGCGCGGTACTTCCACAACTACCAAGTTCATCGTGCCCGACGTTAATTTATGCTCAGAAAAAAAAAAACATACGTTAAAAATTGAAAGACAGCTTATTTCTACTGACGAATTAGTTTACTATAATTAAAAATTTTTAACTTTCTTTTTCTTTAACTTACTTTTTTTTTTTTACAGTATTTGATAAATATGACCCCCCCCCCCCCCCCCCCCCAAAAAAAAAAAAAGAAGGGGTGCAAAGGCTTCTAAATAATTTGTTTTGTACCTATGTTTTAAACCCAGTAAAACTTAAGATCCCTCCCTCAAAACTGCTGACATTAATTGCATGTCTCGCCAACATCTCTCGGGGGAGTTTCACAGATTAACGTTAATTCGGCTTAAATAGAGTTCGCTCTCCGGACAGACTGCTATGGTTTTCTTGGCATGAAAAATATTAACCAAAAATGAATATTTTTAAAGAAAATGAAGAGGCCCAAGGCCGGGCCACATAGCTCAACTGAGCAATTAACTGGCTAGGTAAAAGCAAAAACCAAACATGGCGTTGCTGTTCTTCAGAAGAAGAATTTTAAAGATTTTCCCCATGTATTCCTATGTTAAACTTTGACATCCCATTGTGGCCCCACCCTATCCCGGGGTCATGATTTGAAGAAACTTGAATCTTCGCTACCTAAGAATGGTTCCACATGGCTTTCATCATTCCTGGTCCAGTGGTTCTGGAGAAGAAGATCTTTAAAAAAAATTCCTATATATTCCTATGTAAAACTTTGATCAGCCATTGTGGCCCCACCCTACCCAGCCCGGGGGTCATGATTTGAACAAACTTGAATCTACACTACTTGAGGATGCTTTCACATGAGTTTCATCTTTTCAGGCCCAGTGGTTCTGGAGAAGAAGATTTTTAAAGATCAGCCATATTGTGGCCCCGACCCACCCCCGGGAGTCATGATTTGAACAAACTTGTATGTACACTACCTGAAGATTATTCCACATGAGTTTCATCTTTCCTGGCCCAGTGGTTCAAGAGAAGAAGATTTTTAAAAGATGCTGAATTTTATTTACATCACCACCACTAACTAAAGCCCCCCCCCCCCCCCACACACACACACAACAACAACAACAACAACATAATATTTCATTTTTACTACTGTAGGATAATTAAGTTATAAATAACAACCAATGAAAATATAAATTCCTGTTGAGTCTGTCTTTTCCTCACAGCTTTTGATTGTGTTCAGGTATAGCTGCATGTATATATGTATCATCCTAATGAAGTGGCATTTTAGCAAATGTAAGCCGATTTTATCTTTTTCTTTCTCTTATTATAAATTCCTGTCTTCCTATTCACATGATTAATCAAGCATGGTAATTTATATCAATTACTGGTAAATTACTTAAAGCTAAACACGATTCCTAAAGAATTTGTCCGCCATAATTAGTTAACGTTACTCTGCATTTTCTGTACAGGGTCCCTTTATAAGTCGCTCACTTGGTCTTGATTCAATATAATTATATAGTTTTCGCCGTATGGGCATACGTATCCTACATACTGTAGCTATTGTAAAACTCACGATAGTGATTATGTGCTTCTTTCAGGACAGAAGAGAAAACTTACATCAGTAGCAAAAAGTCAATTCAGTACTCACGAATACCATTTATACACGTAGTCTGCAATATTATGTAATGTAAACAAAGGTAATTTTAGATAACTTCTTATTCCTAGCTCCTCCATCAAAGCTTATTCTTCAGTTGACCGAGTATTGTCGAGCTTCTATACATACGGCGACAAGGGACTGAACAATTAAAAGAGTCTGTATTTACAATAAATTCATTTGAAACCGAGTTCGTCTTTACTTCACTAAACCAATCTTTAAAATCTGAAACGGATTGATCGAAGTTAAACTAGAACAAGTTTTCCTGCATAAACTTTTTTTTTTGACAAAGTATATATGCAAAAAAAAAAAAAAAAAAAAAATGGGTGAACAAAGTGGGCGAAATGCCAATAGTGCAACAATCAAGAAATGAAATATGTTTTCTCATTTATATCAAGTTTCTTCGAAATTTTATATGACATCTATACATGTATATACTTTATGTAATATTTCTACAATTTACAAATATCCCCAAAAACTGAAATTATTTTCTTGTGAAATAACATACACACACTAAAGAGGACAAAAAGGATCATTTTTTCAAACTTTAACAATTTTTGTCAATATGAGTAAGGCTGACGCTCCATTTGGAATGTAAACCCTAAAACATGTAAAAGATTTACAAACAAGAGGCCCATGGGCCTTATAGGTTACCTGAGTATTCACAAGGAAAAAATGAACTCCTTTCGGAACAGATGTAGGTCAATGAAGTCCAACCTAATTTTCATTGGCATGACACAGGTATTAGGCAAAGCGCGTGCATTTGTGCAGCCACCATATGCCAATATTCACCAATATATACAATCAAACGCATTGAAGTAGTAACAATTTCCGTTTGGGTGAAACGTTCTGATTCATGTTTTGAACGTCAATTATAAGCATAATGACACACCCGTTTCTTTCGAAACGAAAAAGAAATACTGGGTATTCGTCGTTATGTTTAAGGATACCCCACTCTTCGTGACAAGCAACACGAGAAACACCGAAATGGAGACTTTTATGATTATAAGAGAGAGAGAAAAAGAGAGAAAGAGAGAGAGTTAGAGAGTTCCTGCTTCTGTAAAACACGTATTTAAACGATTTTGTACATATTAATATGAATTTATCAAGTTTATTGGAGTTACCATATCACATGTATTGGTCGAACACGTGCTTACTTGGTGTTTATGTAGACCGTCAATTGATTGACAATTATATTTATGGAATACCTGTTCAATAAGTTTTCTAAAGAACCATTTGTCCTATTTTTCCCTCTCAAAAGAAATGGTTGTGTCATCATATGCCAATAAACTTTTAAAGATAGCTCGAAACGTTTCATCCAAATTGAAAATTTTACTACTTTAATGCTCTTCATTATAAGTTAAATAGTCCTATCATACACCACAAAACACCAAAAGTGTTTGGTTAAATTAATCTATTACATACAAATACATGTTGCTAATTATTAATCAGGCCGGATTGTTCCGAACCTGGTATATTGATCAAATTTTTTTTTATATCTTTTTTTTCAGGATACATGACATGTACAATGGCCCAATCACAAGCCCAGGACGTCATTCGATGTCAATACTGCGAGGACGAGCCCGCTATCTTCCACTGTGTTCCGTGTGGAGATGAACTCTGTCCTCGATGTAAAGACTTCCATCTTAAAAGTAAAGTTCCTTCCGGACACAACATCGTCCGTCTGTCTGAGAGACTTCACCCAACAAATCAGATCAAAATGTGTGAAGTCCACTCATATAAAGCGTACGAAGCTTGTTGTGAAGATTGCCAAGTCCCTGTCTGTATTACGTGCATTCAGGAGGTACACGGAAAGCACACCATCGGGAAATTACAAGATTTATACGAGAAGCAAAAGGCTGAAACCGAAAACGAATTGTCTAGAATGAAGGGACAATATAAGTCTGAGATTATTCAGAGAATTAAAGATTTTAAAGAGGGAGAAAGAGAAATAACGACCAGTTATGAGAGCGAACGAGAGAAAATGAAGGTACAAGCCCAGAATATGATAGATCATATCAGTACCATTTTTAAAGAAGCCTTGCAGCTATCCGAGGAAGACGAGAGAAGAAATCGTAACGAAATATCTCAACGTATAGCAGAAGCTGAGGGATTTGAGCAAAACTTGGATCAACTGATAGAGAAATTTGAAACTTTCACAGAGTCAACTCATCCCGCCGACCTTATTTTGTTTCGAAAGCAAAATCCTGACATATTTAAGCAATTGAAACTTCCAGACAAACTTAAAATTGTTATGCCTTCCTTTACAGTTGGTCAGATCAAAAAATCTCAAAATGAGCATCAATTTGGCATGCTTTTGATTGGTAACGTTAAGTCATGCAATGAAAGTTTACAACCTATTGAGCGAAATTGGTCTGTAAGCAAAAATACTGGGCGTTCAGTAAAAATTAGCGAAACAAAAACTAAAAAGGAAAAGTTATTTCACGTGAGCTGCCTTAGTGACAGATCAGCGTACATCAGTGGTGATGGGCCTGGAATACAGCTGCTAGACAGGTCAGGGACAGAGCTGGATAACATCAGTACAGATGGACAACCATCTGGTCTGGCTGTGATGCAGGACGGAAGTCTGATTTACTCTGACTACGACAATAAATTGATCTATAAAGTGTCACTCAACAAAGAGAAAACAAAACTTATTAGTACTAAGTCTGGTCCTAAAGGACTGTGTTGTACCAGGTCAGGTGATATCCTGGTCTGTATGGGTTTGTTTAATACAGCGAGAGTTGTCAAGTACAACAGTAGTGGGAGGAAGTCGCAGGAGTTCGAGACAGATCAGAACGGGGAGAGTCTTTTTATTGATCCATGGTTTATTTGTGAGAATGTCAACGAAGACATTTGTGTTTCTGATTGGAGGAAGAGTAAAGTGGTCGTATTGAACAAGTCTGGAAATCTTCGGTTTACGTATGACTGGGTCGTCCTAGCTGGGATATTAAAAGACAGATTTGAACCGCGTGGAGTGGCTGCTGACATTCTTGGTCACATCCTCATCGCAGACGCCAACAATGCTGTACACTTGATCAGCCAGGACGGCGAATTCCTGTCTTTAATTCTGACAGAGGATGATGGGATATCACGACCACGAGGACTCTCTGTAGACAGATCTGACAATCTATGGCTGGTAGAAGAAGACAACGTTTGTGTCAAAATGTATCAGTATTTGTTTTAACTTTTTACCTTTGTTTTTTTTTCTATAAATATTGTTATGTTGTCCATATTTATGCAAATATCATAACAATGTCTCATGATTAAAACAGTTAGTTTTTAGCAATATTGTATTTATTCTTAGGTCACATGAATTTACTCAGACGACCTTTGCTATCTTTATTTGTTCGTCGTTGTGCGTTTAAAAACCTTTGAACATTTTCATTTCCTCCTCTGAGACTGCTCAACCAATTTTGGCATTTAGCATCTAACGGTAAAGTGGAACAAATATTGTGAATTTCATGGACCCTACCCCTGGGGCCTGAGGGATGAGAGCAAAACCACTAAATATAGTGCAATCTTTAGATATCTTTTCTTTTATTCATGTACATCAAGTTATCAAACTGTTGGCATGATTTTGATAAGCATTGTGCCCTCTACAAAAATTGTGAAATTCTTGGCCCCTCGGTCAGGGGTTCTAGCGCTAGTACAGGGCTTTAATGATTATTCAGTGAAAATGCCTTAATTCTTTAAAAATCTTCTCCTCTGCTCCCAAGTATTTTGCTGATGAACTAAGTACATAGTTATGATAAACAAGAGTGCCTCTTCCACAATTATGAATTTCATAACCCAAGGGTCAGGGGTTCTGGTGTTAGGGTCTAGGCTGTAATGAATATATAGTGAAAATGTATTAAGTATCTGAAATCTTCTCTGTTCCTGGGTATAAAGACGATTAAGTACATACATGTAGTTATGATGCAAAAGGATGCCTCTATCAAAACTGAGAATGTCATATAGCCCCTGGGTCAGGAGTTCTTGCACTTGGGTGGGCTCTATCAAATAATTAGCAGAACTGTATATATGCTTTAAAAATTTCTTCTGCCCATGATTTCTAAGCAGACTAATTAAGGACAATAATTTTAATGTGAATGTATTAGATATAATTATGTAAAGTAAGTAAATGTGCCTTTTCTTTGCTTCTAGGTACCGGTATATAAGAGGCCAAGAGAGTACAAAATTGTGATAAGTGACCAAATGAGAGTTACCCTCCTTTGCTAAATGTTGTTAATCAAGAATTGAATAAAATACAAGAAAGAATGTTATACATGTAGAAACAAACCTAAATGTTTGATTTAAATGAGCAAAGAATGCTTAAAGCTAGATTCTTGCCTAAAAAGCATTAAAAAGATAAACATAAATAAAAGATTCCATAGTAATTATATAAATAATAATTTTGTCACAAAAGGTCAGATTATATTTATGAACAAGAGGTCCAAGGGCCTTAACAGTCACCTGAGTATTATACAACACTGTAAAGGATCCATAGAAGTACATAAAAAAAATAACTGATAGACGAAGTAATGCTACCCAAGAATTAAAAAAAATTGGTAAAAATACCATTGCCTATTGTAATGAGCCAGACTCAAGTGATCTCCTTGGGATCAAACTTGGTTTGCGAAATCTTTTTAATACCCCAAAGAACATGAAGAACCAAAATAATTTTGAACTACCGTGTCTATATATGATTCCAAAACTTATTATGAATCGTTACAAACAAAGATACAAAGCGGGTTCCAGTAAATGTTCAACCAAGTCTCTTTCTTTACTTCTCACTAAGATATTAACACAAGATTTTACAAAAATAAACATTTTAAAAACTTATGACTTTTCAACTTTATACTCAGCCATTCCCCATTAATTAATGTCCATGCTTTTCGATATCAGTGACATCTGGTAAATACTTACCTTGTCATTGGCAAAGTAATTTGCAAAATTATTTTGTTAAAAACATTCTGATTGTGAAAATAAGCTCTCTGAAGATGACATCAAAAATATGCTTGGGTTTCTAATTTACAATATCTATGTTGTTTTTGGAGACCAGGTCTTCTAACAATCTATCGGAATTTCCATGGGTACCAATTGCGCTCCTATATTACTAGACCTATTTTTGCATTCAAATGAAACAGAATTTGTTCAAATTCTTATGTGTGAAAAGAAGAAAACACTTCATATGGCCTTCAACTCGACATTTAGTTTAGATATAGCGACGACGTATTGTCACTTAACAATGGCAATTTCCATTCTTATGTCGATACGATACTAGTATATTCTGGTGAGCATGAGAAAAAAGATACCACAGAGTCTGACATATCTTTTTCATATTTGGATATTTTACTTGAAAAGGACGTTAATGGTAATCTAACAACCAAACTCTTTGATAAACGTTATGGTTTTAACTTTTCTGTCGTCAACTTCCCTTACCTATGCAGCAATATACCTTCATCACCTGCATATGGAGTTTATGTATCTCAGTCGATTCGATACGCAAGAGTATGCTCTACGAATAAAAAATTTCTAAAACGGGGTAAATCATTGACAAACAAGTTGATGAAACAAGAATATCAGCAGTCTCGTTTAAAGTCATCATTTTGTAAGTTCTATGATCGATACAATAACCTTGTCAGCAAATACAATTTATCATTCAGTCAAATACTGACTGACGTTTTTCATACTTATTGTTAGTCCATTATTTATACACTATACTGATGACGGGTTTTCCCGTTATTTCCCGAGCATGACAAGGAGCACACGGCAGGTGTGACCAGTCGGCAGGGGATGCTCAATCCTCAATGGCACCTGATCCAATCTCCGATGTTTTGGAGGTTTGTGTTTGCTCATCTCCTGTTTTATATAATGTTTTAAGGACTTTTGATCTTGAATACTGTTCGTTATCTCCATATCCTTCAAACATCGGTTCGGTTAAGATAATACAGAAACTAACGATCTTTTTTTTTAATCTTTTTTATTACAATAAATCGGATTTGAAAATTAATTTAAAAAGTAATCAGCACAATATCATCTAACTACAGACATTATCCATTATGAGGCACAATTTCACCTAACTACAGACATTATCCATTATGAGGCACAATTTCATCTAACTACAGACATTATCCATTATGAGGCACAATTTCATCTAACTACAGACATTATCCATTATGAGGCACAATTTCATCTAACTACAGACATTATCCATTATGAGGCAAAATTTCATCTAACTATAGACCTTACCTACTATGAGGCACAATTATCTTTGCAGCTTACCTATATGAGGGAGTGAGGTATATGATTTGTGTTGATTGATAACCAATTAAGGTTAGCGATGAGTTGACCTATAATCTCACATGTAAAAACTTAACATGACTAAGTAACTGAATAAATATATCATAAATAAATTTCTCTGATTAGGAAATTTACGACTATAGATCAAAATAGTGTGTCATTCAGAATCAGCACAACTTGATTATTCATATAATTTCGATATTACATAGAATTAGCAGGATTATTTTTCTTTACACATTTTCATCACAATTCAATCAACGTATAAGATGACAGACTTCTAAATTGCAAACTCTTCTTTTTCATAGAATATTTTACGGGATCATTCAAGGCAAATGAGCTACAGATGGACTGTATTTTCACCCAGCTTTGGTTATAATCACACAATCACACCCACCAGAAAACTAATTAATTATCATCAAGTGTGTACAATGAGCAGGTGTACGTTCAGATTTTTTTGGATGAAGTTGAATTAACAAGGCTAAGATAACGAGATTAATTATATTCAAGTTCGAAGATGTTCAGAATCGGAAGTTGCTGTCATGAAATTTTAATTTATTGTGAAAATTTTAGGCAATATAAAATTTTTTTTTGTTCATTTATTCCATATAAAGTTAAATTGCTGCATTAATATTGCTTTTAGTTATTAGTCTGAACTATTAAACGTGTCTGATGTTTAACAATAATATATCTTTTTAAAATAAGTATGTGTTGCATTGTGTTTATAAAATTCGTGAAAGTGACATAGATCTTGGCAATTTAAAAGATACATAATATCATTGAACCTCAATAAGAAAAGGTTAAAAATAACCACCAATGACAAGATAATTTACTAGAGAGCCTTACGTTTTCATACAGCTTTTGTTTGTGTTCAGGTATGGATATATAGAATATAGCAGTTTTTATGCATTTGTTGTTGCTGTAGTTGTTGCTTGTCTTCTCCTTTGTTATGAAGAACTTAAGTCACCTTATATAATACAGAATGATAATTTATAATATCTATTGAATAGATCGAAATGTAAACCGAAAGTAGAACAGGTATTCCTTGTCACCATATCAACCTTGTTTTCCTGTGGGTCATTAGACATTTGTTTGGCAAACTATATATATATATCTGTCGTCACAAAATGTAAATGTACTTACCCCTTCCCTTTTTTGTTAGTGTACTATCAAGACTGAAAAATTCCAGTACTTAAAAATATATAGAAAAGATTAATATAGAGAAATAGATAAAGATTCAACCCTCTTACACTAAATTGTACTTTCGAGTACGAACAGTTTATAACTTTAATTTTTATTTATTTATGCACCTTTGTTTGCTTCAACTTTTATTAGGTTAACCAATATCACTCTGAAACACTGGAAACTATCCTGACTTACATACACTATGTGTATATTATTCATGTTACTGTTTATACCAGTATCTTATCAAATATCTGGTCTTTTCGTACAGAAATTAACATCCAGTTTTTATACAGTGTCTGAAAAACTTTTTTTTATATATATTTAAGAAGTGTATAATAGAGGCATTTCCCTCAATTGTTCCTTTTTGGCTCAACTGAATCTACAGTTCAACTGAGCTGTTCTGATAACATTTGTCCGGTGCCTGATAGTCAACATTTACATTTTCGACTTTGAAAGACAATACTTTATCAATTATTTCAAACAAACGTGCATTATGTAAGTTTGTTTAAATGAAGCACCATGTCTTCTCAAGAATTACAAATAAGTTGACATCTTTTAAAAAACCCAAAACGTTCTTGATCAGGTAAGATGAAACTCATACGGAAGCATCCTTGGGTAGTATAAACTAGGTTGGTCAAATGTTGACCCCCAGAGGCAGGGTCGGTAATAAAAGTTTTACACAGGAATGCATAGAAAAAATCTTTTAAAAAGTCATCTTATTCAAAAGCATCTTCTGTAGATTCAAAATTGTTCAAGCCTTAAACCCTAATTGGGTGTGACTATAATTGGTTGAAAATCAAAACTCGTCTATTATTTCAAGATACGTATAATGGCCAGATCTCAAATCCAGGACGTCATTCGATGTCAATACTGTGAGAACGAGCCCGCTGTCTTCCACTGTGTTCCGTGTGGAGATGAACTCTGTCCTCGATGTAAAGTCTTCCATCTTAAAAGTAAAGTTCCCTCCGGACACAACATCGTCCGTCTGTCTGAGAGACTTCATCCAGCCAATCAGATCAAAATGTGTGAGGTCCACTCATCTAAAGCGTACGAGATTTGTTGTAAAGTTTGCCAAGTCCCCGTGTGCATTATGTGTATTCAGGAAGTTCATAGCGAACACGCTATCGGGAAGATACAAGATCTTTACGAGAAACTAAAAGCCGAAACTATTGAGGAATTGACTACAATAAAGACACAGTTGAAGTCAGAGATCAGTCAGAGAATAAAAGATTACATCATGGGAGAAAAGGGAATAAAGACCAGTCATGAGGATATACGTGAGAAAATGAAAAAACAAGCTCAGATATTTATAAATGATATCAGCGCCATTTTGGCAGAAGCATTGCAAGAGTCTGAGAAAGATGAGAGAAAATATATAGTGGAAATAGCCCGACATACTGCGGAGGCTGAGAATTTTGAACAAACTTTGGATCAAATGATAGAGAAATGGGAAACACTTACAGATTCAACTCATCCTGTCGAACTTATTTTGTATCGAAAGCAAAATCCTGACATATTTAAGCTATTGAAACTTCCAAACAAACTAAGTATTGTTATGCCTTCGTTTTCAGTTGGTCAGATTAACAAATCTCAAAATAAGCATCAATTTGGCAAGCTAATAACAAGTAAGGTTAACTTGATAAAATCACCCGTTGAAAGCTCAAAACATATACAGCCAACTATGTCTGCAAAAGGAAATAAATCCAAGAAAAGAGTACTGGAGCGTTCAGTAAAAACAAGCCAAATAAAAGCTGAAAAGAGAAAGTTATGTTACATGGCTTGCCGTGATGATAGATCAGCGTACATCAGTGGTGATGGTCCTGGAATACAACTGATAGACAGGTCAGGGACAGAGCTGGATAACATCAGTACTGACGGAGAACCAATTGGCCTGGCTGTGATGCTGGACAGAAGTCTGATTTATTCTGAATACGACAATAAAGTTATTTATAAAGTGGCGCTGAATAAACAGAAAACAGAGATTATAAGTACTGAGCATAATCCTGGAGGACTCTGTTGTACCAAGTCAGGTGATATCCTGGTCTGTATGGGTTACAGAGGTACAGCAAGAGTGGTCAGGTACAACAGCACTGGGAGGAAAATCCAGGAAATTCAGACAGATCAAAACGGAGAGAGACATTTTAGTGATCCTTTCTTTATCTGTGAAAATGTCAACAAAGACATCTGTGTTTCTGAATGGAACTTTCTTAAAAGTAAACTTGTTGTATTGAATAAGTCCGGAAATCTTCATTTTACCTATGACGGGCACGTCATAGCCAGTATTTTAAAAGACAGATTCCAACCCAGTGGTGTGGCTACCGACAGTCTTGGTCACATCCTTATCGCAGACAGAGCCAATAACGCCGTGCACCTGATCAGCCAGGACGGGGACTTCCTGTCTTACATCCTGACAGAGAACGATGGGATATCACGGCCATACGGAATCTCTGTGGACAGGCACGACAACCTGTGGTTGGTAGAACAAGAAAAAGCCTGTGTCAAAGTGTATCGGTATCTCTAGCTTTGAATGTTTGTTTCCGATCTTGTTGAGTTGTCCATGCTTATAAATAAACTACGCAAAGTGTCTCTTGACAAAAGCAGCAAGTACTTTTCAGTAGTATTTTGTGATGTTAAAAACATAACGTCTGTCTATGTTTACAGGAAATATAGTAGAATGTACTTGTACTAGTATTTTTACTGGGAATGTATAAGCAATATTAATTTTGTATTAGCATATTAGAAAAAGAGACTGTATCTTAAATAAAATCAATACACTGTAAATTAAGTTTCTTGTTGAGAGAAGTTTACATGAACTGATAACTACTATACATGTAGTGGATTTAAAGAGAGTACCTCGCATTTTCTTTACCTCCTTTTTCAAAACTTGCAGTATTAAAGATTCTTTGATTTATGCATATCCTCACCGTCTATAATATTGTATAAATGTATGAACAATTGATGAATCTTATATGTTGTGCCTTAGCCAATTATTGTAATTGACATCTTTATGATAATGAATATTTGTATTTGCATGTACATGTTCATAATATTTAAAAAAAAATCATTCAAACCATGGTAATACAAATTATCTCATAATGTGAGATATAACCTCAGTAGAGAATCAACATGTAAATATAAGAAGAGATTTTATAAATGTCTTCAAGTTAATATCACTGCAATGAAAAGAGTTTAACTTATGTAGGCAAATTTGAGAGTCAACAGAATACAAACATATTTTACATGAGGTATCGTGAGTTATCGTGTATATAAATGCAACAAGTTTCTTTGCAGAATAAAAAAGTAAAAGTAAAATGAAATAAAGCTGTTTTGGTCCTATACTCTCCATCCTCCTCCCAGACAAAGTAATTTAACTCTACCTGTAGAGGAAAGCCCTTGGAACTATGGAGTTAATGAAAAATATTCAAGCTCATAGTAATATTAAACAATGCAGAGTGGAAACACATGAGTCCCCCCCCCCCCCCCCCCCAAAAAAAAAAAAAACATCAAAGGCGGAATCAGGTGCCATGGAGGAGTAAGCATCCCCTGTCAACGCCAAGAAATCTCGTCCGGTTTACGCACTGTGGAAGTCAATAAAAGTGTAATTGATGCAAATCACCCATATTCCCCAAACGCTAGCAAGACAATTTACGGCAGCAGATTTCGATTTTGATGCAAATCACCCATATTCCCCAAACGCTAGCAAGGGGGGGGGGGGGGATCATAGGTTTTCAGCTTTCTTAGTTAAAGAAAATAAACTTGATATATTCCACCATTTATTTCTATCAGTGATATTTTTACATTAAAATGAAAATATTAACATAGCCAATCAGGTTGCGTCACACGGGTAATTGTTTTGACTGTAAATTTCCATATAGAATAAAAAGTCTTTAAAAAAAATTGGTAGTTGTTTACTTGAAAAAATATCTAGCAGGAGGTGTTAAACATTACCTGTCACACTAGCTGACACACTCTCACACACAAAACGGTACCTACACGGCATTTCCTGACTTTTTCTATCTGTAAACAGGGCTACCCTCAAATCCACGTGTTTTCAATGTGTCTATAAACATTCCGAGTGTACCGCAGGAAGTAGCCTCCTATTCCCGGGAAAAAAATAGTTCCTGTCGAAAACCTTTATCTGTTCAAAAAGTACATAAAATTTAATAGGCACAGGTACCAAAGTTGTAAAAATGGCTTGGAAGAGAATAGAAAAACGTCTCAAAAGAAAGGAAAATCAGTTTTAAATGTATGGACCTACATTTGACTAAGTTCATTTTGATTGGTTAATTACCGGTGTGATACCTCTACCCATTTAGTACTCCTCTCCCCTCTGGTTTAACCAGGAAATGATGTCAACTTCCGGGAATCTGGTACCCCTTTTTCCCATAATTCGACGCGCGCTACTTCCAAAACTACCATGTTCATCGTACCCGACGTTAATTTATGCTCAGGAAAAAAAAACTATATGGAATTACGTAAAAAATTGAAAGACAGCTTATTTCTACTGACAAATTAGTTTACTATAATTAATAATTTTGTTTTTCTTTAACTTACTTTTTTTCTTACAGTATTTGATAAATATGACCCCCCCCCCCAAAAAAAAAAAAATAAAAAAAGAAAAGAAAAAAAAGAAGGGGTACAAAGGCTTCCAAATAATTAGTTTTGTACCAAAGGCTTCCAAATAATTAGTTTTGTACCTATGTTTTAAACCCAGTAAAACTTAAGATCCCTCCCTCAAAACTGCTGACATTAATTGCCTCGCCAACATCTACAGATTAACGTTAATTCGGCTTTTATTGAGTTCGCTCTCCGGACAGACTGCTAAGGTTTTCTTGGCATGGTAAAAGATCTCAACCCCCCTTTTCTGTTAGTTTGAATTCCATTTCTAATGCATCAAATTCTTTTGATATAATATATTTAGGCATAAAATGACTTATACCGGTAATAATTTTGATTTAATGGACCGGGCGAAATGACTGAAATCTGCAGAACACCATAATATACAGATAAAAGTAACACTCTCAAATATTTTTTAGGCAAAAATAATTAAATTTAAATATTTGAAAAAAATCCTTAAACGAGCAAAATTCAAATCACGACAAGGTCAAAAATATTATATGTATCTCACACAACTTTTCTGGCTGATTTTCTGACTCGGTAAAAGATCTCAACCCCCCTTTTCTGTTAGTTTGAATTCCATTTCTAATGCATCAAATTCTTTTGATATAATATATTTAGGCATAAAATGACTTATACCGGTAATAATTTTGATTTAATGGACCGGGCGAAATGACTGAAATCTGCAGAACACCATAATATACAGATAAAAGTAACACTCTCAAATATTTTTTAGGCAAAAATAATTAAATTTAAATATTTGAAAAAAATCCTTAAACGAGCAAAATTCAAATCACGACAAGGTCAAAAATATTATATGTATCTCACACAACTTTTCTGGCTGATTTTCTGACTCGGTAAAAGATCTCAACCCCCCTTTTCTGTTAGTTTGAATTCCATTTCTAATGCATCAAATTCTTTTGATATAATATATTTAGGCATAAAATGACTTATACCGGTAATAATTTTGATTTAATGGACCGGGCGAAATGACTGAAATCTGCAGAACACCATAATATACAGATAAAAGTAACACTCTCAAATATTTTTTAGGCAAAAATAATTAAATTTAAATATTTGAAAAAAATCCTTAAACGAGCAAAATTCAAATCACGACAAGGTCAAAAATATTATATGTATCTCACACAACTTTTCTGGCTGATTTTCTGACTCGGTAAAAGATCTCAACCCCCCTTTTCTGTTAGTTTGAATTCCATTTCTAATGCATCAAATTCTTTTGATATAATATATTTAGGCATAAAATGACTTATACCGGTAATAATTTTGATTTAATGGACCGGGCGAAATGACTGAAATCTGCAGAACACCATAATATACAGATAAAAGTAACACTCTCAAATATTTTTTAGGCAAAAATAATTAAATTTAAATATTTGAAAAAAATCCTTAAACGAGCAAAATTCAAATCACGACAAGGTCAAAAATATTATATGTATCTCACACAACTTTTCTGGCTGATTTTCTGACTCGGTAAAAGATCTCAACCCCCCTTTTCTGTTAGTTTGAATTCCATTTCTAATGCATCAAATTCTTTTGATATAATATATTTAGGCATAAAATGACTTATACCGGTAATAATTTTGATTTAATGGACCGGGCGAAATGACTGAAATCTGCAGAACACCATAATATACAGATAAAAGTAACACTCTCAAATATTTTTTAGGCAAAAATAATTAAATTTAAATATTTGAAAAAAATCCTTAAACGAGCAAAATTCAAATCACGACAAGGTCAAAAATATTATATGTATCTCACACAACTTTTCTGGCTGATTTTCTGACTCGGTAAAAGATCTCAACCCCCCTTTTCTGTTAGTTTGAATTCCATTTCTAATGCATCAAATTCTTTTGATATAATATATTTAGGCATAAAATGACTTATACCGGTAATAATTTTGATTTAATGGACCGGGCGAAATGACTGAAATCTGCAGAACACCATAATATACAGATAAAAGTAACACTCTCAAATATTTTTTAGGCAAAAATAATTAAATTTAAATATTTGAAAAAAATCCTTAAACGAGCAAAATTCAAATCACGACAAGGTCAAAAATATTATATGTATCTCACACAACTTTTCTGGCTGATTTTCTGATAGGTAAAAAGATCTCAACCCCCCTTTTCTGTTAAAAAAAATTCCATTTCTAAATCTCACACAACTTTTCTGCAGAACACCATAATATACAGATAAATTTAGGCAAAAATAATTAAATTTAAATATTTGAAAAAAATCCTTAAACGAGCAAAATTCAAATCACGACAAGGTCAAAAATATTATATGTATCTCACACAACTTTTCTGGCTGATTTTCTGACTCGGTAAAAGATCTCAACCCCCCTTTTCTGTTAGTTTGAATTCCATTTCTAATGCATCAAATTCTTTTGATATAATATATTTAGGCATAAAATGACTTATACCGGTAATAATTTTGATTTAATGGACCGGGCGAAATGACTGAAATCTGCAGAACACCATAATATACAGATAAAAGTAACACTCTCAAATATTTTTTAGGCAAAAATAATTAAATTTAAATATTTGAAAAAAATCCTTAAACGAGCAAAATTCAAATCACGACAAGGTCAAAAATATTATATGTATCTCACACAACTTTTCTGGCTGATTTTCTGACTCGGTGTTCGCTCTCCGGAGACTGGTAATAATTTTGAGGTTTGGACGCGGGCGAAATGACTGAAATCTGCAGAACACCATAATATACAGACTCTGACGTTAATCAAAATTCAAAACTATATGGAATTAAGATCTCAACCCCCCTTTTCTGTTAGTTTGAATTCCATTTCTAATGCATCAAATTCTTTTGATATAATATATTTAGGCATAAAATGACTTATACCGGTAATAATTTTGATTTAATGGA